ACTACAAATGTGAAAACACAAAAGCACTTAAACTTATCAAAAACTGAAAACGAATAATGACCCAAAAGGTTTGTTGTCCCACTGACAAGATATACTGCACATATATGTCTGTAAAATACATATTCCTATGAGACACAATAAACTCCCCACACCTCAGTCAATGAACATACTTATTTGGCCAAATTTATCGGTTCAACAAACATCATAGAAACGCATTATAAATTTACAAATTTTCTATTGCACAAAAATCTCTTCACACCATATCTGATACAAAGCATCCTTTAACATGTTACTATACAATGAAATGACACACCATATCTGATACAAACAATCTCTTAACACTTTACTTTGGAAAACGTTGGCCAGCAGGATAACAAGCAGAAGACAATATTAATCCTTTGAGGAAGATAAAAACTTGTACAGGTCTGTACTTCAGCATGTGCTTGTTTTTTTCATGTTTACCTTGTAAAAACATTCCTCAAAATGCAGTATATAACTAATACAATCTTTCTGTTCAATATGAGTGAGAAGCAAAACTAACAGACACAGACAGCCGATCTTCAAATCTCCAAGTCAAGGGTGGGATAACTCTTCAGAAGGTTTCCTGTCAATGGGGGATAACTCTTTGTGAAAGGACCCAAGCCAAACATGTCAGTGGTGAAAAAACATTTCAAGGTCTCTGCTTATAGCTAGTTAAATCTTCAAGATATATCTCTAGTTCAAGGAGGTAACACTATAAGAAATTAGGGCTGGGACGAGTCCAAATTTACTACCCGAGTACCCACCCCCCTATTACCCAACCCTACCCGGGTACCCACTGTAGGTCTCAGATGTCTCAAAATGTCTGAATGGGAACGTTTTTAGCATAGCCCTGGCAAAACGTATTAAGATACATGTATTAAACAATCTGGTCATTAATACACTAAAGCTGAATTAAGTTATATCTCTATTCAACCATATGAAAAACTAGAAGGAATGGGTGCAAAGTCAGAAAGAAATGCGAACATCAGTGACTTGAAGTGTAACCATAGAGTTCTTGATAATTTTTGTCATTAAACAATATATCACGAGACTAACCACAAATCCGGGCAGTCCTGTGGGTACCCAGGTCCTACTCAGTACCCACCTGACCCGGGTACCCGAGTTACAAGTCCCAGCCCTACAAGAAATGTCCCCAAATGGTAATCACTCTTCCAGAAAGGTCAGAAAAAAATGGACAACTCCTTAAGGTGAAACACTTATTAGCTACCACTGAAGATACACTATTTTCCTGGTGGCCTGGAATAAGCAGATATAACAATAGAAAGTGTAAGTATGATATCACAGGAAAACACAACAACGTTGTACAAGTCATATACACATTCTTTATCATGTGATTGTGAAACAGTTTGGCAAAGCCTCTCTCATTAAAATGACATACAAAGCAAATACATACATGATATAGTCATCAATCATCTGACTTCTTTCATAATGAACAACTTTTTAACTCTCAATATTGTCATAAAATACAAAAATGCAATAATTAATGCATCATTTATATGCCTATATATATCTACATGAACATTTTGGGCACAATTGAGCAAAACATAGATTTATAAATATGCAACCGATTATTCTAAAAAAACTAAAAAGTAATTAAGTTTTCCTTAAAGAAAGCATGCTTGTGAACTTACAGTGAAGAAGCTCAAAAGGACTGTTAAATCTCCTTAACAATTCTTCAGTCCGTCAAAGGTTATGGACTACAGAAAAAAAAAATATGTATGTTATCCTAGTACAGAACATTTGATTAGTATTTTTTCAAGACATTAGTGGTGCTTATTGAAACAAGGCAAATGATATGCTGAATATGTCATTCATGTTCAGGTACGGAAGATTTAGCAAAGACAAAAGGTAACAATTTGGTTGACCTTGATCATCTGTTGGTCAAAATGTGTTATAATCCCTGAAAGGCAAACCCTTTAACTTAGTGCATTAACCATCACTAACCCATTCTTCTCCCAGATTGCCTGATGACAGTTAGTAGTTTGGATACATTGCTATGTATTATGTGAGTGTTATTTCTTACATTAGTGTTTGGAGTAGACATCAGGTTAAAGTGACTTGCACTTATAGACGCTGTGATAACACAGGACACAGGCGACAGATGGGTGGACATATTACGCACTGACTAAAAACATTCTTTCTTGTTTTTCCCTTAATCAGCAGTTTTCCCCATGAGCTGGGTATGTGTCAAAAGGGTTAAAAAGAACACATTTATAATTTGGAGTTACTCGGTTGACAAGAAAGACAAAAACAGCACTCACTGCCACCTAAGGGGCCTTCTGTTCACCAAGAGTATATGTGATACATACAATACTGTGACCTATGAGTTGCACAGAGAAAACTATGATGAAATAAGTTAATTCCGAGCCAATACCAACTTAATTTATTGTTTCAGAGGCTTTCTCAGTCAAAATGCCAAGAGTTGGAAAGAAACAAAAGTGACAATGAAAATGTTGTCATGGCTGATTTGAGGGTTAATTTTTAAAAATAAGTAATAAAACACACAAAAATACTTCTAAAAACATTTCCAATCAAAAGGAGCATTTTGTTTCTACCTTTTTCACAGGTGGGTGAAAGAAGAGAGCATGTTCTAGCCCTTACAGAGGATCACCCATGATGGTCATCTAACAACTTGTTTACCTCCCTACAATTGTGCATGGATATAATAGTCTGCAACATGTATTACTTATAATATGATGTTTTAAGTTTATGAATTACAAACATATACATGAGTAATAGGTCATTTTCCCATTTTCCCTTTACTAACTAGATCTGATAATTATGACATCAGGAGCAAGTTCTAAAGCTTAACATAGGATACAAACGTAATTCACACAGACACACAAAAAACTTAAGGTTTTTTTCAACGACATCAAACTGGCCATGAAATTGAAATCAACTCATGACTATGATGACAGATTCAAAGAGTAAAGTCACATATTGTCAATTTGTCACTTTTATGTATACACTGATCATAACCTCAAAAATAACTTGATATTGTGATGTTTGTAAGCAGAGAGTTGTGACTGCAAATCAAAATGAAATAGACAAGTTAGTATAAACAGCTGCAAACACATCCTGTCAATCATTCAGTTTCCTATTTCACAGAACAATTAAGACATAGCAGGTGGTTGCTTAGAGAAGGCTCAGTAACTGACAACATCATCATACATAGATGCTTACATGACATTCACCATGAACAGAACAGGAACATCAACTTGGACACAGAAACATCCTACTCGGGGAGACAATACTGTAATCAGGTCCTGCACCATGTGGTCTTAGCGCTAAGACTGTCGTAACTCCCTGATATGCTTAACCTTTTCACAAACACCTGGGGATATCACGGATTTTCACTGATTCATTCAAAAACAATTCATCACTATTAAGCCTTTTATGCCCCAGTGGAATCTGTTTCAGCAGATACATTACTCTCTGCCATTTGTATTCAATATTAACGTACGATACTCAAACTGTGTTATCTTTGTGGATCAGGGACTTGGTTTTTTATAACCCGACACTATCCTAAATTATCTAGTTAACACATTTCACACATCAATCTTTTTCATTTTCTCTCATTTTTTCAGCAGTGGCCTCAGGCCTGGCTATCATCACAATGCCAAATGTAATAATTTAAATTTTCGGGAACTAGCACATCAAGGACAGCTTAATCAATGCTTGATTAATATCTTATCATGGTTATAAATACATATCCTATCCTCATAAAGTCATGGACCCATTTGCCAATATAACTCCTTTTTGAGTATGACTCAAATGACATGACTCTAAAGCAAGTTACACTAAAGTGGTGTATTCAACTTGTCTGGTTGCATGCCGTGAAATACAGACTTGGAACCCAGGGTGGCAGGAGGTCTTCCTTCAACCTGTCTTATACCCACGAATAATACCCAGCTTAAAGCAATAACATTACCATTAATTTATAAACTTAATAACTGTCCTCTACCTAATCCCTATAGAGAGCTCACTCTTATGAGACAAGCAATTTGAATGTAGATCCTTGCTGAGAATCGCTCAGAAGAGTGACTTTGATGAATTAGCATGATTAGTTTGAGATGGTGGCATCAATTCCAACACAAAGCAGTGATGGTGAATACGACCAGGGTATATATCATCATGGAATGGAGATGAGCCAACCACAAATTGCGCTGAAAACCTCCAAGGGTTCAACTCTGGGCCTGGCTGCCTTTGTGTGATATTTTACCCCAACTATCATCTCGGTGACACCATCATTCATTGATTTCCTGACCAAGACTTTGGATAACTGCAGGGTGATGTTGATCCATTAAACAACCACTCACTAAAGTTCACTCATTCTGTTCAAGCAGCAGTTGATTTCAACATCCCATGAATATTGTCTTATGCAGTTCAGAGGTAACTTGTTAGCTATCATCAAGACAATGACTTGTACACCAATAATATAAACACACCATAAAACACATTCATAATCAAAACAGACATTTGACAGATAATCTGAACTAGATGAGCACATGGGGCTCATGCGGTGACAATACATTCAGCTGTTCCGTGTTTAGAACACTTCTGAGACACTGTGTGCACAAAACAGGGGTTTCCGTGGTGCGCTTAGTCAGAAATGTCTGTTTCAAATGTAGCAACAGAACTCCAGATAACTAAACATACAGATGGGCTCCTATCATCTTTAACATTATGTTAAATCCACAAACATGTTCTTGTAAGTTGGAAGTCCTAAATCCAGCAATAAGATTATCATATTTGACGTAATAAGCGCCCACGGTGATATTTGATAATATATTGGCTAGTGAACAATCCCAATTAGCAACCCTTCATAGTGATCAATGTACAAAAGACTTATTTATTCGCATATAATACGCACTCGTGTGTTATATGCACCCTTAATTATGGGTAATTAAATTCTGGAAAAATATATCTGTCATATATAAACATTTCAGGCGGTCAGCATAAACCACGAAATTTATCTTTCAACTGTTTTTTTTCCACCAAAATAATATACTAATAACAGCCCCCTATTTCTAATTTTGAGAGCACCCAGTGTGCTTATTACGTCGAATACGGTAAGTCTATTATTGAGTTTGAGTTGGGATTAACACTCCCTTGAATAGGATCAACACTCCCTTGAATAGGATCAATCTTTGCGAAATACTTTTGAGTCTACTAGCCCAAACATTTATCTTGGCATTATTTTCAGTAGATTTTAGTCTTTGTAGACACACTGATGTATGGACCGTTATCAGCTGATCTCAACAGACTGAAACACGTTTCCATACTTAAAGGGAATCAGGGACAGTTTCAGTTTCTTAAATATTAAGATTAATGACTTAACTGGATTTCAATAGCGAATTCAATGGAGCCAAGAAAGTTTTTCCACAGAAACTCCAGCTTGATACAGAATGCATGGAATCTACAGATCCAAAGATTTTTTTCCCTGTTAGCTGGTTAGAAATAATTAAGACCATGTTTTATTCAGAGAATCAGATAATGATCCACCTTCAAAAGGTGAACATGAATGGTTCAACTGATGAAAGTTAGAAATGAACCAAACTACTATGAATATTTTCTGAACAAGATGACGGCAACAGTGGAACCACAGCAGAAAGTGATGCGGATGGTGACTTGTGGATGGAGAAGAGTACTGCATACACTGCACAGATATGCTTCAAGATATATGTGAAAACATGCACCGATCCATTACTGCAGCTTGTCTTTCAACTAGGAGGTGATAATGATGCCAGATGAAGAATGTGCTGAATATGTTTCAGGAAAGGTTTTTGTTCATCTGCATCTTCAAGATATATTTACTGAAAAAAATATCAAAGCATGTGCTAATGATTGTAACAAAACGATAGCTTCATACCTAAATAAAGATCCACGTAACATTCCAAAAATGTACATTTCTCGAAACAAAGAATTAGTTCTTTAATATGAAGTGAATTCTCAGATGCACTTCTCATGGTACATGTGTAACTTAGATTAACAGATATTAAATATCTTTGCAAAAACCTTGTGATGAGGTTATTAAAACATTCAAATCTGTGTAGTGCTTTCACAAGGATGATCCGTCTTAAGGGTCATAGTCTGTCACTCGATGATCTTGTTCAGGGGGCTGGACTTGCCTCATCAACAGCTTACTGCCACTGAGCTGCTCCACCAGCTTCCCAAGTGCTACATCTGTAGTGAGTGTGCTATGTAGGAATATAAGATGAAGCAGGAGAGCTGCCTTGTGGACCGGAACCATTCCACAAAGCAATCTTAGAGCTACGACCATCGTAAGTCAGGTTAAAGTATAGGAGTTACGACCATTGTAAATCTATGATAAAAGTTAGGATAGCCGTGGCATAAAAATCACTTTGTGGATGAGGAACAGGACAGAAATAAATAATTTGTGATACCCAGATGACAGCTTTCGTCAAGTTGATGAAGTGTTCAATGAGTCTTAAATACCAGTGTGGCAAATCTTGTGATGATAGTTGAGTTATTTCATGTCAATGTATGTACATATCTGTCAATCATGTCATAAATCTATTCAAACCAGCTGAACCCTGCTTTCCCAGATTCAAATATTTCCAGATCCTTTCAGGAATATTTCAGTCCTCTCCCAGAATCCTTGGATCAAGATCCTGTCAAGCATCCATTGATGAAGATCCTGTCAGAATCTTTAAATCAAAATCCTTCAAGAAACAATCAACCAATCAAGAAAGTGTCCATCAACTTCCTTTCTAGAAGCTTGAATCAAGACACAATCAAGAATCCATCCTTAGTTAAATATGGTCACTGGGGAGTAGCATTAATCCAACATTTGGTGTCTGTCTGACCTCACATGGTACAAATCAACATGGCCACCACATCCAAGCTCCAATCTCGACATGTCCTGCTCACAGATGGTGGTTCATGGCCTTGTTCTCAAGGCCATTGCCTGCAACAAACAACACAGTTTTACATTTCTGAATGTTACTCTCCTTCTGTGTTCACCATACTTCACTGGGCTGTGTTCAGCTTATACCAAAGATATGCACAGATGATTTGTCATCAAAGTTAAAGAACAAAGTCAAAACCTAACTGAAGCTACAGCGAAGATGTGTTTTGCTGCTTTTAGCGGTATCATCGATATCACAACAGAGGACATAAAATAGGCTTTAAATATTGTGGGGGTTTTCCCCATATTGGGTATTTAAAGGTTTGGTTTTACCAACATTCCACTGAATATGAATATTTATTATGATTCTATCTCAGCATATTAAAGTGGAATTAGTCTGTTACAAAAAATATGTAAAAAGGGTATATTCAAGATAATTCTTTACCTTGTAACACTGATCATGTTGATAATGTATTAAAGTCTACTGGAAACAGATTTAATATTTTTTAAACACTTGGAAACAATGTTTCAATTCTTTCATTTTTAAGGTAATGTCCAACATTTCTCAAATCGTATATTGTCAGAATAGAGAATTATTCAGTCAATCATCATATAAGCTGAATTAGCTAGTAGCAAAATATGTTCTTCCATGTGTATTATTTGTTATTTGTATTATGGTTTCTGTCAACAACAGGCCTGGAAAAACATTGTAGACATTGTCTTAGAATTTGTTTGATTAAATGCATTCATGAATAGGTTGTCAACTCCAATACTAACGATGATCAGAGGAGCAGAGAGTGAGTATCGTTTTACGCCACTTTAGCAATATTCCAGCAATATCATGGCTGAGACATTGTAACTAGCACCATGTGTGAATCTGAGACATTGTTTTGTGTGGTATGGGAAATCTGAGTTTGCATACAGATCAAATGAATTTGTAATAACATTAATCAAACTTAAATATGACTTGAGCATGTCAATCTTTATGGAGTTTAGATCTCTTCTGATATATCTAAAATCTCCAGTCATTGAAACTGTATTGTTTTGAATTGGCAAACATTTGTGGGTGTCAATGGTGTCTTAGTCTTGTCAGATCCTAATATCACTGTCTACTGAACGCCACTTTTAACAGTTTTCCAGTTATATCACAGCGTGTCAGCATAATGTGAGAGGAAAGCCCAAGTGATGCAGGTCTCAGACGTTTACCACTTCAGTGAAACCCACAAACACAGGTATGGTGCTGACAAACCTAGAAACATAATCAGGGCGAACCTGGATTCGAAACCACAATCATAGGTTTCTGGCGTGCCCAAGGGACGCAACTCTGTACAGTGAATCGCAGCGTATTTGCTGACTGGGCCACCCGTGCCCCCAGTGCCTGTGTGAAGATGACATCTACACACTGAGTGTACAACCATCATGACTAGTGGGAAGAGAACGACAGAGAAGGATACTGGAGGGATAATTTCATTAACATTTGATCTTTTACTCTGATACAATACCTTGTGCAAACTTTGACAGCCCAATCTAAAAGAAGTGTGTGTTAGTTTTTGAGCCGATCACATGCCAGCTGTTTTTAAAATAATTCAGCTTCATTTATTTATCAAACAAATTCAGACAGTTTAATCTCAACAAAAGAAAACCAACACAGAACACAAATACTTCTCACAAAACTCTGTTCTGGTTCCAGATGGCTGGCGCTCCGAATCGACAGTCTGCATAGGATATCCTCAACATAATCATGATAATACTTGAGCCTTATTTCCATTCAGAACTGCCCCATTATGTTACTTTTAGAGACACAGCAATCAGATATGCTATGCTAAAAGGTCCCCAGCACTCTACTGCTTGTAGGTAGAGACAACTAAGAGCATCGGGTGGTCCAATTTGGTTCATCGAATGTCATCCTACCTCAACTGTGAGACGTTGCTCATTATATCGACACTTGTTTGTCAGCCCAGATTATTTACATGCTACTGTGCTTCAGCTAGAATATTGCTGACTGCTGCATTAGATAACAATCAAACATTTTGGTGAAACCTACAAGCAAGCATGGACAATGGGGCTGGCCAACTATACTAACTCTGGCAGCAGTTACAAGCCTTTGAGCCAACACTGTGCAAAGGGCCTGGTCACAGTAAGCTTGATCTGCCCATCTAAGCAGCCATTGTGAGCAGCCTTTGTGAGCACCCAATACCCACCTCAGTCCCCTCCTAGTCTGACAGGCATTAACCTCTTGCCGAGTTGTAAGTTTTGGGTCAAAACACTGATGAACATTAAGCCTCTTATAGAAGGGGATTTTAGTGTTAGACTTAAAAGACTGACACCCTGAACATTTGATAATATACTTCTTACCAGAAAAGAAATGTCAGTTATATGTGATATGCATTCTACTATTTTTACAAGTCCATCACCCGCAAATACATACGGCCGCCACATATATCACCCTGATCATACAAGCAGCAGCAAGTCACACAGACCAACATTACAACACTCATGCAGTGAACAGTGTTCAAAATTAAGCATAACATTCAAGGAGTCTCTTCCAAGACACTAATATTCAAAAAATATAGATTCAGGGGTCTTTATACACATGTTATAGATTCAAATACTCTAGCATCAAACCTTAAGGACACCAGAGCCCACTCAATTTCTCACATCGAGTTAAAAAAACAAACAGTTGTTGTATGATACAAATGCTACATCACAAAGGTTTTTTTCAGGTTTATGATTTAAAATAAATTGCCACCATTCCAACATGTAATTAACATATATTATTAAAACTGTTGACAGATTCTATCCCATCTCCAGCTCATTTTAGCTCATTTAATCCCATTTCAATCATGCACAATACAACTGAGGATTGAGTTAAATATCCACCCATGCACATTCTATGAAGACAAGGCTACAGCACAGCCATGACACATCAACGTTTCAAAGACATCAAAAGCATCTGGACCATGATTCCCTTCAGCAAAGAGATCTGAAATACTGGTGTAGGCTGCCTGTCTATTTTGTTCAAAAAGGGATCTACCGAAGACAGAATTTACACATTTTGGCCTTAAACTAGAAATGAAGACATCAAATATTTTGGTTCATGTGATTTTCATAAGGAAGGGTTAGGTTGTCATGAACAAGCATGGCCCATCCTATCACAGGTTGTTCAAAGCTCTTGAAACGGGTCAAATACTCATGGATGTTTCTTGACAATGGATACGCAAAACTGAAGTGCATTTTAACAAAAAGCATGCATGCCCTGGTGTCCTAGGGATGCTGCATGGTGTGGTGATGATGAAATCTGAATGTTGGAGGTGATCCAAACCTAACCTTCATGAATAAACAAGGAAACAGGAAAAAACAAGCAGCACTACATCTAACACTGTGGTCCAGAAGCAGGTCCTGAACATGGAACACAATCAGGATTCCAGTGACAACAAGTCCAAACATGTCAACCAGGAAACTTTCAAGGACAGACAATGATCTTGAACAGGCATACAAGAGTTATCTCCCTTACAGTGTTTTGAGATAGATGGTTCTAATCGTAACAGCTGTTAGTGACAAAACATTACTCTCTGGTGATTAATTGTTTCAAGAAGGATGAAAGATAAATGGGATGAGAGGATGGTGACTGTAGTCAAAGATTCATACTTATGTCAATGGCTTAGAATGACTCTCTACCCAGAATAACTTGAAAAATGATGTTTAGGTCACATTTAGTGTCATTTACCCAATAATAAACATATATTTGTAAAATCTCCAAACAGAAAAGAAAAGAAAGATACTTCAGAATGTTCAAGTTTGTATTTTTCTCTTCAAAAAGGTCATCTGAGTATGCTGCCATGTGATCACTCATTCTAATTCTTGCAGTTTAACCCCTAAAATGCACATTGTTTTTGTGGTAAACATGCTAAATTTTGCAATCAGTTGAACAAAAAAGGGGTAGTGCTTCTCAGATTATTTTTTTTATCCACTTTCATTATATTAGGGTACGCAATCTCCATAATGCATAACCTCAAAGAAAATAGATCCATGTCTGGTCAGGAAAAAGCAACGGTTGACAAGTCTGTACAACATTCCACATTCACTGACAACAGAGACTACTGATCAACAGCAGGAGAGACAGAGAGACAGATGGAGAGAGACGGAGAGTGGAGGGAGAGAAAGACATACAGTGTCCAGTGGCCACAGTGACTGGCCAGTTCAGTCATCAGTATAGCTGACTAGATGCAGTTGCGAGCTAGCCGTTTGGAAGTTCCCTGAAACAGCCCATGAGATGAGTGAGTGAGTGAGTGAGTTGCGTTTACTGCCACTTTGAACAGTATTTCAGTTATATCACGGCTCAATGTGGGAGGAAAGCCTGATATGATACAGATCTCAGACCTTACCACTTTGGTGAAACCCACAGGCACGGGTAGGAATATAATCAGTGTGAACCGGGATTCGAACCCACGATCATATGTTCTGGTACTCCTATTGCATCACCTTAGACGTGTGGGGCCCCCCGTGCGCCCACCCATGAGATGGTGTGTGAGAGCTATACACTCAATCATGAGGCCACAGTGGTTGTGTTCAAACACAAAATACAAATTTCAGTAAGATTTAGTTTCTAGAACTTTCTACTGGGATAAACATAAAGCTGCATGATGACGCACACAAAGACTAAGGCTATTTTAAATCCATTTCAATCCTTCTATGCCATGTATGACACCAATAGCCAACACAAGAGAACATTGGTACAATAGTATCGTATCGCATGCATTGAGTTATTTAAAAAATTGCAAAAGTGCACTTAAAAACGTTAAAAGGAAATATTGTTAATAATATTGTCATTTACTAATAATGAACATATCAGAGTTCAACCACATATCTGTATCTTATAATTCCTAACAATTGCATGAAATATATTTTTCCCAGTTGAGGAACCAAAAAAGTCCTCTACAAATAAAATGACCCAAGGTGACATGCATCTGAAAAACTAGTTTTCATTTTATTCAGATCTTATGTAATCTATTGAACCTGTAAAGTTGTGTATTCATTACTCTGCAAACAAGTTGATGTGACAAATATTTCACATCACACTGCACAGTGATACCTTGGACTGGAAATTTCGTAGTGAGTGAGTTTTGGCTTTACGCCGCTTTTAGCAATATTCCAGCAATATCACGGCGGGGGACACCAGAAATGGGCTTCACACATTGTACCCATGTCAGGAATCGAACCCGGGTCTTCGGCGTGTCGAGCGAACGCTTTAACCACTAGGCTACACAACCCCCACCCCCCCCCCCCCACCCCCATGTGTGATTGTGTGTGTGTATGTGAGTATATATCTGTATGCCAACTAAAGGTGAGCGTAATTATCGGTATTATCGGCATATCGGTAAATTTAAGTTCATTCTTTCCTCGATATGTATCACAATATCATTTTCTCAGGCTCGATATATCAGGTGATTTCAGATAGTGATTTTTATCATGTGTTTAATGTTATACATTTGCCCAAAACCTTCGCTGCCCCGGAATATTGCATCCGGTGCCCTGAGATGGCTGCGTATTAGTTAACATTATGTTGTACCAGCATCTTGTTTGTTCCATTTCTGAATTATACAATATATCATGATACGTATTGCAATATGGCCTTGTGCATCGCAAAGTATTGTGAAACACTCTAAACCTCTAATACCCATCCCTAGTGCCAACATGTGTTATATGTGTGTACCCATGTGTGTCTGTGATTTTGTGCATGAATGTGTCTATGTTTCTATGTGTCTATGTGTCTATAGGTACAGGAATAGGAATATGTACGAGCCCACTAGCCCAGACCAGTTTTGTTAATGTTAAAGAGCTGGTAGAATTTCAAACATTTTTTGGGTGTTGCCATATGTTATCACTATTCATGCCAGTAGACGTTCTTAGTTATTTCCCTCTCTGAGGTACATCTGCTTGTACAGGTCATCTTAACAACCCACGTTTTGTACCTGTATCTCAAGCTATATCATTGTTTGTTTGTTGATAAACGCTGCACTAAACACATTCCAGCCAAAAATTGTCTACCTGTAAACCTGGTAATTATTCATAATAAAATCTTCACAAGACAAACCAATGACTCAAATCGTGAGCAACAATCCACTAAGCCATGCAGTTTGAATGCTAAGGTCATAACATGGTTACCGTGTACCCTCACTATCGACCTCTATCCCTATGCTTGACCATATAAGATGTAACGATATGGTTGGGAGGCAATACTATTCAAATCCTATACCATGGCCGCAACACATTTTGTATCCCGATACAGTTCATTTATCATAATAAGTTGATATTCTTTCTTATTGCAGGTGAATCACAACCCTGAATCATTTGTTTCAAAGTTTCAGAGATCAATGATGGGATTATTGTAGGACAGAAACATATACCGGTAGGCAAGAGTGAGTGAGTATGGTTTTACGCCGCTTTTAGCAATATTCCAGCAATATCACGGCGGGGGACACCAGAAATGGGCTTCACACATTGTACCCATTTTGGGAATCGAACCTGGGTCTTGGGCGTGACGAGTGAACGCTTTAACCACTATGCTACCCGACCGCCCCCCCGGTAGGCAAGAGGGCACTGTGAATGTCATGCTCTATATAGCCAACTGGGAAATACAAATGAAGCTGCATATGCTGGTTTTTGAACAGTTTGTTACTATTCATGTTTTTTACAGCAAAATGGCCTGTAAAGTAATGTATCGTATGTATCGCAATACAGGCTGTAATGTTGTGTATCGGGGGCTTGTATCAGGATGCAATACTGTATCACTGTATCAATACACCACGATGGATCATGGTGATCATGACAGAACAAGATCATGCCTTCAGTGTTTAGTGGGTAGTGGCAAAGCAATAATGAACAAAGCAAGCAGCTTCAGACTCCACAGAAATTGCTGAGGCAAAGAGAACAGGCTGTTTCAGCGATCACATTGAACATTCCAGATGTGTCAGGTAATCCGAACAGAAAGATGTTGATCATGTCAATAATAATTGAGAAAAGTAGTGATGAAAGTTTCCTGCATTTCTTGCAATGGTATTCCATTACATCTGATAAATGTTTGCAATGCCAGACAACATCAGAACAAAGCGACTTGCATGTTTACTGTTGCTATTGCAATACCTGGAAAAGTATATTGTTGCCCTGGCAACAATTTTTAGCAATGGGTAGAGGACATGATAATTGTGTCGTTTTGTTATCTTAATATCCAGAAATTACTTAAAGATTATTCATGCTGCTGTGATGTTTGTGTTGCCATGGAAACTGACCTGTGGGATTCATTTCTTCCTCCCCTTCCTCCATCCATCTCTGCCTCTGTCCAAGCAGGTTGTCGCAATCCAGATCCACGGTGCGGGTAGGATACGTGACCCCGTCCCCCATGCTAAAATGTACAATTCCTTGTCAAGCACTGTTGTAAATGTCTTTTGCATCACACAAACATTTCATTCATTTATCTTAGAAACAGACACCAATTGAACTAAATTTCTCATACATAATCTAAAATTTCTTTAATCAGTTGAGTGTATTTGACAGGAATCTTTGAGAAATTTTGTTTGGGTGCTGTAAGGCATGCATTTCAATGAGAAGAGTTGTGTCCCTTAGTCAGGCAAGGATCTGCTGATGATGGGTTCAGATATCAGATTTGCCCTGATCATAATCCTTTGTCTGTCAACACCATACCATGTTTGCTGGTTGCACCAAAGTGGCAAGCTACTTCACGCTTCACTTTTAACTCTTACCCCATGTTCACTGACACTCAATCACTGTAATTTGGGGAATTTACACCCTGGTCTTCATGAATGTGTTTTACAACTCAATTGTCCCTAATGTCCTGATGAAAACGGTGTCTGGTAGCTGCCATATGTGGATCGATGCTCATGATGTCAATCACTGGATTGTCTGGTCCAGACTCAATTATTTACAGACCGCCATCAAATAGCTGATAGTGCCGTAAACAACAAACAAACAAAGGAACGTCTTTCAGACACTGTTTGAAAAGCACTGAAGCACATGTAGTCCATGTGGTGTCTCCTGATGCAGGTGACTTTGTTCAAACATGCCCCTGTTCACGCTGCAGTGAGTGGGTACCCGGTAGGATGAGATGTTATTTAATTGTTAACCTTTTATCACCTCACAGGCAGCTTGGGTTGTATACTCCCCATGGAGCTGAGAACCAATATCGAGTGCACACTGATCCATTGACCGCGGTGATAATAATGTAAAAACCATGATCATTCACTTTGTGAATGAAATTGGTGTACCATAAACAGACTCATTATTGTTATTACAAAAAGCATTTCAGTTATACAACAGCTAGCCAGCTTCATCAACAAGTGGACAGAAAGCCAAAGTGATTTACTACGATGGGGCAACACTCAAAGCATGATGCTGACAAAACAAGGAAGACATATTGGTGGGATATGGGACTTGATCCTTGATCAACAGGTCTTGGCTGGGACCCAATTCTTACCATGTTCCTGGAGCAAGGTTAAGAACATATTAGCAAACTTTTGTAAAACAAGTGGCCACTGTCACTAAATACACCCTGTGCACTGTTATACCTGAGTAACCAGGTGGCATCTACAAGTTAGTACAACAACAAGCCCATTACACACTGACTACCATGCATTTCAAATGACAAAAATGTCACCGACATTCTCTTGACACGGACATTTAGAAAACATGCTTTCTTAGGCAATACTAACAATAGTATTTTCAGGTCATGTTCAATGTTTGATGAAATTATAAGGAAAACATTGTTTTAAAACACTTACAAAATATATTTGACAAAATTGTTAGGTGAAAATCAAACATGAATGCATCATGTCTCACCGATGCTCAGTGAAATCAACTCATGAGCATTTTGTCACGAATCAAACATGAGACACATAATCAGATTTTGAAGAGCTATTGTTCAAAACAGCCAAGTATTATTTGGTACGCATTTTTTGTCTCTAAAAAATAATCACACTTTTTACCAACAACACTAACAATTCCAAAGCAATAATGGTTTCAGTAACACAATGACAACTATAAGCTATGAAAAAGACATATTCAAGTTTTTCTCAGAGAAACATACACACAACATTAATTAACCATCAACCAAACCACAAGTCCATTAAATACTGCAACAGTTTCTTCATTATCTGATTGTGTATCCCTAAAAACAAGCATTGTTTGCTAAATGAAGTGTCATCTGAAATAAACATGGCAGAATATATAAAGCTTGTCAAACATCAATAGACAATAAAGAGGAAAAATAAACCAAAAAACAACAAAAAACTAACTTAGTAATGAGGTGTCCTTCATACATAGCCTACAATTTATTTCTTTTTTATTCAGCACTGATAAGTAGTTCTTTGGTTAACAGCACAAAGACAACAGTGAGAGTATGGCCAGCAAGTACACAGTGAAAGAAAAGCAGTTATATAGCGCTGGGGGACATGGCACTGGTGAAGCAAATAAGTCTAACAACATAGGGTTATAATATCAAGAAGTGGTCACATCACTTGGCTGCTCTGAGTAATGGCAACACATTCAACAGGACAATCTCATAAAGCATACGTTTTCGGTTGTATCAGCACCATTCCCTGACAAATAATCCTTTCATAGTAGAAACTTTTCAAAACTTAAGATTGACAACATTTTTGTATAAATCCAAACATTAATTAAAGGATTAATATTGAGGTCATATCTGATAAAGAAAATAATGAACTGAAGAAAGGTCACAAATCTATTGGATAGATTAGCTTCAGAATTCCAGGAAAAATAGTTTTTCCAGCATGCTCATCAAAATTGTGACAAACTTGTGGATTTTAATTTTACTGGTGAAAAAAAGTATGCAAAGTAGTATCAAAAAATTATTTCCTGAATTTCTACAATTAGATTGTGGTATCCGAGACTATTTTTCTAAAAGTCTGTTCGTTGAATATCATCAAACATCTGTTTCAAACGTTTAACTGTCAACAAAATAAACCACAAATTAAGATCAGTTGCTGGCTTATTTTTTTTAAAAACTTCAAAACAACCATATTCTTTGCCATGCTGAACGTAAAAAATGTGTAATTGTTTATCTGTATACCTTTACTGTTGTCTAATGAGCATTTCTTTAATTTGTACAATTAAGACGCGTTCACAATATCACTATCATTGTATTCAAAAAGATTACAAATTGTTAGGCTGTGAGTGGTGGGTATCAATGCACACAAAAACAGAACGTATGGATTGATTCCATTTTCATAAGATCAACATAATAGTAAATTACCAATATGAATATTGTGTTATGTATAACTGAAAAATAAATTCCAGTTTTACGAAAAAGATGTATGGAGAATCGTGTCTGTTATGTCTGTTGATATTAGTTGAGGGTGGGGGGTTTGTCAGCTTTCCAAATTTATATATACAATGTTTATTTTCAAACATTACCTTTTGAAACTGAATGTGGTATGCATTTTCAAGTTGAAATCTCTCACAGGCTTAAGTGTGTAAAGGCAAAGACAAATGGAACTCAGTTTAACGTTAATGGAAGAAGGCCCAGCTCTGTGATCAGGCCATTAACAAGCAAACCAATCATTTATACATATGCTTGTGTCTTATCCATCAAAATGCATACAGGGTAAAGTTGGCTGTGTTTGTGTGGGAGTGTCTTGAGGTGCACTGTTTCAATGCATTAAGAGGGAAGTTCTGTGTGCAATGACCCTGTGAGGTATCATTATACACCTACCCTGTGAGCTGGCTTTATACACCTACCCTGTGAGCTAGCTTTATACATCTACCCTGTGAGCTAGCTTTATACAACTACCCTGTGAGCTAGCATTATACATCTACCCAGTGAGCTAGCATTATACATCTACCCTGTGAACTAGCTTTATTAAAGCATTATACATCTACCCTGTGAGCTAGCGTTATACATCTACCCTGTGAGTTAGCATTATACATCTACCCTGTGAGCTAGCATTATACATCTACCCTGTGAGCTGGCTTTATACATCTACCCTGTGAGCTAGCTTTATTAACATTCCCTGTGAGCTAGCATTATACATCTACCGCTAGCATTATACATCTACCCTGTGAGCTAGCTTTTTTAACATTCCCTGTGAGCTAGCATTATACATCTACCCTGTGAGCTAGCTTTATACATCTACCCTGTGAGCTAGCATTATACATCTACCCTGTGAGCTAGCATTATACATCTACCCAGTGAGCTAGCATTATACATCTACCATTATACATCTACCCTGTGAGCTAGCTTTATACATCTACCCTGTGCGCTAGCATTACACATCTACCCAGTGAGCTAGCTTTATACATCTACCCAGTGAGCTAGCATTATACATCTACCATTATACATCTACCCTGTGAGCTAGCATTATACATCTACCCAGTGAGCTAGCATTATACATCTACCATTATACATCTACCCTGTGAGCTAGCTTTATACATCTACCCTGTGAGCTAGCATTATTAACATTCCCTGTGAGCTAGTTTTATTAACATTCCCTGTGAGCTAGCTTTATTAACATTCCCTGTGAGCTAGCATTATACATCTACCCTGTGAGCTAGCATTATACATCTACCCAGTGAGCTAGCATTATACATCTACCCTGTGAGCTAGCATTATACATCTACCCTGTGAGCTAGCATTATACATCTGCTAGCATTATACATCTACCCTGTGAGCTAGCATTATACATCTACCCTGTGAGCTGGCTTTATACATCTACCCTGTGAGCTAGCATTATACACCTAGCTAGCATTACACACCTACCCTGTGAGCTAGCATTATTCAACTTCCTTGTGAGCTAGCATTGTAAGCTAGCATTATACATCTACCCTTTGAGCTAGCATTATACATCTACCTAGTGAGTTAGCATTATACATCAACCCTGTGAGCTAGCATTATACATCTACCCTGTGAGCTAGCATTATACATCTACCCTGTGAGCTAGCATTATACATCTACCCTGTGAGCTAGCGCTAGCATTATACATCTACCCTGTGAGCTGGCTTTATACATCTACCCTGTGAGCTAGCATTATACACCTACCCTGTGAGCTAGCATTATTCAACTTCCTTGTGAGCTAGCATTATACATCTACCCATTGAGCTAGCATTATACATCTACCCTGTGAGCTAGCATTATACATCTACCTAGTGAGTTAGCATTATACATCTACCCTGTGAGCTAGCATTATACATCTACCCTGTGCGCTAGCATTACACATCTACCCAGTGAGCTAGCTTTATACATCTACCCTGTGAGCTAGCATTATACATATACCCTGTGAGCTAGCATAATAAACCTACCCTGTGAGCTAGCATTATACATCCACCCTGTGAGCTAGCTTTATACATCTACCCTGTGAGCTAGCATTATACATCTACCCTGTGAGCTAGCATTATACATCTACCCTGTGAGCTAGCTTTATACAACTTCCTTGTGAGCTGGCCTTATACATCTACCCTGTGAGCTAGCATTATACAACTTCCTTGTGAGCTAGCATTATACATCTACCCTGTGAGCTAGCGTTATACATATACCCTGTGAGCTAGCATTATACATCTACCCTGTGAGTTAGCATTATATATCTACCCTGTGAGTTAGCATTATACAACTTCATTGTGAGCTGGCTTCATGCTGACACTGCAGCGATTACATGTCTACTTACATGTCTACCATCATGTCTGTGGGCATGGTAGGAATGGTATCTGAAACCCGTGACTATTGGTCAACTATCAACCAATCACACACATGCTTACTACCAAACTCCTGGCATTCATCATGCTAACAGTTGCACATATATATTAATATCTGTGAAACATGCACAAACTGATACTTAGTATAGCAGATATCCATATATTATCTTTGCTGAATTAAATGCTGTATCATATAACATCATTATGTTAAATGTAATAGTATAACTCTTAACAAGTTTGCAAATACACTTGAACCAAAGTTTCTCATACAAGAAAACTGGAATGAGTATTTATCTATCTTAAAAAAACAAAAACATCCACTATGCGCAAGCAACCAGTCACCAGTGATAAGTTATTTGTTGTTAGTTTGCCACAATTTACCCAGGTACCATTCACAATAATAGAAATCTACTCTACACTCATGATTAGTAACGGCATATGTGTATTGTAAATCATGCATTTTCATTCCACAATTGTGATAAAAATCATGTCTTAAAAACATCTAAAAAAATCCCAACCCAGGTAAACAATTAGAAAATTAATAATAAATTGAATGAATATTTAATTAACTTTTTAAACAAGGGAACAGCCCAAAAGGCTCCCAGGCTCAAACAGAAAAAATCATTCTTCTTAACACTTGCAAATAAAAAATATCGGAATACAATCATAACAGGCTCTTAAAATAGATTAACTCTGATAGGCTCTCAAAGTAAACATAAATAGGCTCTCATAAAGATACAGGTCTGAACAGGCTCTCGAAATACATGTAGGCTCTCAAACCATGCCAAAGAGTAATGATCTTAATATCCCCAGATTAGAAATAATTCCATTCTCTCTATTAGAAATAATCTGAAAAGGCTCTTGAAATTGTCTTCATTCATGGTCTTACACATTAACCCTATATTTACTGGACCAGTTAACAGACCTAATTTAGGCAGAATCTGAATACCATAGACTACTGAATGTGTCTGATGTTTGTTTGTTTGTTTGTTTGTTTGTTCTTTAACGCCACACTCAGCAATATTACAGCTATATGACAGCGGTTTGTAAATAATCGAGTCTGGACAAGACAATCCAGTGATTGACATCATGAGCATCGATCCACACAATTTGGATACGATGACATGCATCAACCAAATCAGTGAGCCTGACCACCCGATCCCATTAGTCGCCTACTTACGACAAGCATAGTCGCCTTTTACGGCAAGCATGGGTTGCTGAAGACCTATTCTACCCGGATCTTCACGGGTCAGACAAGAATAAATGTACATCCACTGCCTCACCCTATGACAATGTATCTCCTTGTCCATTCCGCCATAGTGTTTGTATGCTTGTGTTTCATTTACTGCAGGACTCAGCAATATTCCAGCTATATGACAGCGGCCAATAGATAATCAAGAGTGGACCAGACCATCCACGCCATCAGGGTATAATGACATGTAATCAACCAGGTCTGACAACCCAATCACAGTGATGTCATCTGTTGTAAACGAGATGCCAGAACCACTTGGATAATATCAACACAATGAATAATCAAGGGCTGACCTAGCCTGTAATAACTTAGCAGCATCATAGCTCACTGTATATTGTTTGGAGATTTTTAATCGACTTTTAGTCAACAAGATATTCAAAAGAAGAAATAACGTGAAGCGAAGTTTCTATTTCATCCTTGCCCTCATCATGTTTATGAATTAAGAAGTAAAAAAACAAACAAGTTAAAGTCAACATCAAACATTCTGTTGATAAAATGATATTAACATTAAACCATTTCTGTTACCCTGGTTACATTCTCTTGGCTGCTTCTGTAGGAAATAGTACTGACATCAAAACATGCTGTGTCAAATATGACATTAAAAAACATAACGAGGATTTAGGAGTATTAATATGAAAACATCGTTAAGTTTCCTGCATCCTGTGAAACCATGAATGATCTATCAGCTGTACAGCATTATTTGTGCTAGAGTATTGTCGAACAGCATGTGTGTGTTTGTTGAATAATGCCACACTCAGCAATATTCCAGATATAAGAGAACAGCCCATAATTAATCAAGTATGGACCAGACAATCCAGTAGGACTGGGTCAGTAGGTACAAATATAAAAAAATATCTGGTTCTGGTCTCTTGAATAATAACTTTAATTTGTCACCAGAGTTCACATTTCTGTGTTGTCTGTGTTCAAGAATAACAAATGCATTTACTTCAGCATTTCATTCATTGCCAAGTATCTTTAAACTGTTTAAGAAGACAATTTATACTATCAGAGGTATAAAAAATATACTTATTTGTTTTATTCCCAGTCTTAGTTTAAGGAAAGTGGATCCTTAAACCAAACAAAAGAAATGTATGGCCTTACTGAACTATCAGGTGGGTGAGCAAGTGAGTGGGTTGCATACAGAGAGACAGAAAGACAAGAAGCCGGACACTGGCTGCGGCAGCTAACCTGGGGGTGTTGCCCATGGTCTGATACGACATGGTCGCCGACGACTGCGAGGGGAAGGACACCCCATCACCAAGGCTACAAAACATCACAATCAAAGGGTTATTATTGGGAGAGAATTTCAGCTAGTCCTCTGGCTCATGTTCCACAAGGTGATCTTAGTGCTACAATTGTTCTAACTCCAGTTCATGTTTAATAGAAACTTATGATGGTCATGTTGCAAAACATGTCCTCTTGGACACATTCTAGCACTACGATTGCCGTAACTCTCATACCTGTTTAATATAAGGAAGAGAATTTATGGAAGTCAACTTCTTCATTATGAGGAACACAACATTTCAGAGTATTTGCTTACTTCTTCACCTGATGAAGGAGTAAGCATGTACTCCAAAACATTGTGTTCCTCACAATAAAGAAGCTGACATCCACAAATTCTCTTCCTTATGTGTATCACTTCTAAATGCCTTTCAAAGACCTGTATAATATAGATTTGTGACAGTTGAGTGCAAAGTCGGTCCTCTTGGTAATATTGCACAAGGCAATACTTCAGCTACAATTCTCGCAACATATCAAAATAGTTACAAAAGTCAAAGTGCAAAGAATTCTCTTGGGAATGTGGCCGGGAGCCCTATTCCATGAAATGACCTTGATTGTACCTTTATCAATCAATGTTGTGTTGTACCACGAGGCACCAACATCTCTACAGCAATCACTTATGATGGCCAGACGCGGATCTAACCGAACATAATGTAATTAGCACCTCCCTTTTAACTTCTCCCAACTAAACAATATAACTAACATGAATAAAGTTAGTGCATTGTAGACATGGCTTGTATTTCACTCATATCATGATTAAAAAGAAGAGCATTATGGCTTAGTTTGCTGTTACTGCATTGAATGCACTGTAAAACTACAATGACAAAATACAATGACAAAATTAAGAATATATGAACTTACAAGAGGAAAAGAAATAAAACCAAACTGGTTTGGAATGAACTCTGAAAATGGTGTATTACCATGATTACCACTACACCCTAACAAACGCCCTAACAAGAACTCGATCAAATATCCCGTCAAAGCTCGAACCCAATATTGAAGCACCTTTGACATGATTGACTTTGTTTAAAGCCTGGGGCGATAACTAAATTGGTTATTGTAAAGTACCATCTGAGTCTATCCATCACAGCTGAGAAACTAGTAGTGATAATTCCCTGTTAACACAGTTCTACCAAGAACAGTTCATGGAATAGGGCCCGATCTCAGCATGTCATACCGTGTATCTTGTGAAACATGTCACACCAGAAAAATAGAGGGAAAAAGGCAAACCAAGGACTTGATAAAATTACAAAATTTCTGAAGAAAGTTACCAGAGGACTAGAATTAATGCCTCGATATTAATATATGAATATGTAGACATGTAGCAATAGCACTCAAAGTAAGTTAAAGAAAGTTAATTAGAAATGATTGTCATGACATCCTTGCTAATCATTGCTTTCTGTCAATACTCAAAATCAAAGTCGTACATTCTAAAGATGACTAAATTCTTAAGAGCAGTTACCATGGTTACATGGATAATAATGTAACCAAGTAAAACAAACTGTTGTTTGATTCCTGAGTACTCATCATTGTCTTCCTCGATCATGTTTAAAAATATACATTCAAAACTAACAAATCTTAGACTGTATTAAAACATGTTTCTGGGGCAAATCATTGTGAAGGAGGAAGGACTTTTCTTTAATTTTAATTTAAAAGAAAAAGTGATGAGGGAGAAACACATTATATTTTTTCCCAATAATACCATCAAACAACTGGTCATACAATGTCAGTCTTCAAGCATGGATACCAGTGTCTGCTTCATATGACAAGGATAAAACTGAAAAATATTTTTGGATTGGCAATAAAGATGACTGACACATGGGATTTAAAGTGACATGACAATGCCCAAGAAACATTTTCTTCTTCTTTTTCAGCCGAATACCAAACCTAAGTAATGCTTTCATCTGATGGAGCACACAAGACTGCTTTTCTAAGGCCCAAACAGTTCATTACGGTTGAGAGAATATCATGGAAGACATGTCTGAACTGACACTCTGTGAATGAAGCTGAAACTGGTCCTGCTGATAGACATCCACTATGTAACCTCAGCCAAACAGAACAACAGGCGTTGGAAACCAACTGACAAGGTGTGATAGGCACTGTTTCAAACTAGAACAACTACAAAATGCAAATTTGGTGAAAAGTTGAGAAAGTTCCGTTGATCTGAAAATCACTGAAAATAGTCTTATGACCACCATAAGTCACCAGTTTACAAAGGCAAAAAGTTGTACTGCAGGCTGCAGTGACTTCGCCCGCTTAATGCAGTCGGAAATGAAAAGCCACAGTGGTCTGGCCAGAAGTTTGTAATTTACTGTGCATGAATTATCAAAACACCTTCAGCTTCAGGTCAGGGTCTCAGTTCAAAACATGACATTCCTTTTCAAGTAAAATGTCTCCATTATTTTCCTCATCATTAAAACAAGACATAGAATCATTTTCACCACAAATGTCCGTCATTTATGAAGTGAAATCAATTCAAATTACAGTACTGTACATTTAATTTCAACATAAATATGACAGAACTTAGTTCATCCAATGCCAAGAAAAGTGCAGTGCCTTGTATAGAACAAAGTGAGTGTAGAGTGGTAAACTGATGTGATTGATACCCCTGGCTTACCTGGAATATATAGGCAGGAACCAGACCTTTACCTGGTCCCCAAACACTTCCTGGAAGTTCCCTCCTCTTCCAAGACTAAACCCTTCTTTGTCAGGCCCGCTCTGAAAAATTGGTGCTCGGAAGGCCTCTGCAAACAATTAAATCGGTTATACATATATTCTGTATATATGCCACAAGCATGGACGACTGGGAACAATCTAAAATGGAATATCTCATGAGTTTAGCACAACCCTGACTATATTTTCACTGATATACCTTTTTTTTGTAAAATGGTGTTGTTTTCTACGCCTTCAAAAAACATTGACCCTGCACAGTGTACATGTATCAGTAGTTAGTTCACAGTGAGATGCAAGACAAGCACTCCATCAATGAACCTCATAAAACGACCAGTTGTGACAACTTTACACCATGCACACAGGCCAACCCAAACTATGTTCTTGTCTCACAATAAATTGCAGAAAAAATTAACAAAACGCTAAATGTTGGAATGAGATTAATGTCCTTTAAAACTCAATAAACATAAAGTCAGATGATCTTATATTGTGATGGGTTTCTATGACATACTTGTACCGTACTTTCCGCAATAAACAACATGGGCGCTTAGAAACTTGACATAAGGGGACTGCTTTATAATTAAAACCACAAGCAAAATCTGTTTTCAGAGTTTGAGAGTAGTGGTTGGTTGGTTGGTTGTTCTATGCAGCACTCAGCAATATTCCAGCTATATGACAGCAGTCTGTAAATAATCGTGTTTGGAACAAACAATACAGTGATTGATATCATGAGCATCGATCCACGCAATTCGGATCGATGACATGCATCAACCAAGTCAGCGAACCTGACCACCCAATCCCGTTAGTTGCCTTTTACGACAAGCATAATCACCTTTTACGGCAAGCATGGGTTGCTGAAGACCTATTCTACCCCGGATCTTGAGAGTAGTGAACAAACTTAGTTCAAACACTGAGGAGTGAGTGAGTGAGTTTGGTTTTATGCCGCTTTTAGCAATATTCCAGCAATATCACAGCAGGGGATACCAGAAATGGGCTTCACACATTTTGAGCATGTGGGGAATCGAACCCATGCCCCCAGTGTGACAGACAAACGCTTCAACCACTAGGCTACCCCACTGCACCTCAAACACTGAGGAAACAAACTTTCTCTGTAATAGATACAATGCAATTATATACCCATTTTAGGCTGCTGTATTGAAAGAATTTGTGAAAGAAATGAGAAAATGTGGACTATCATTTAAAGTTTCAGTCATTGTAGGGGGCGTTCATAAACATTGCTAACAGGCTGGTCAAGAAGCTGGTCAGGGGCGCTTATTGGATCAGGGCGCTTATTGGATCAGGGCGCTTAATACAGCAAATACGGTAAGGCAAAATCGAGAAATTTATGTGTAATATAAAAAGAGGGCACCGTAAGTTACTGACTTTTGTTTGTTGTTTAGCGCCGCATTCAGCAATATTCCTGCTATATGACGACAGTCTGTAAATAATGAAGTCTGGACCAGACAATCCAGAGATTGACATCATGCACATCGATCCATGAATTGGGATACGATGCCATGCATCAACCAAGTCAGACCACCCAAGCTGAGCACCCAATCCAATTAGTCACTTCTTACGACAAGCATTGTTGGCTTTTGCCCCTTATTAATATATATTTTTTAAATACTTTTCAACAATCATGCCCATATCAGCTGCTTAGGCTGAAACAATGCACTGATGCACCACAAAATTAATTCAAACAATAATTTAGGCTTTACAATTAATTCTGTATCGATTGTTTGTTTCTAATAATATGGACAGGACATAGTCTTCACATTTTCACTAAACAAAAGTTTGGGGGGCAAAATAAATGAGCATTTGAGCACTTTTGATTTTGTGTATTATGGACAGCTTATGAGCAAACACATGATGCAGTGACTACAGCGTACTGTACCAGCCCTCACGACTACGTCTTCGTACTCACCTAAGGTGGACCTGTTTTTACATGTGAGGTACAGATGATACCCAAACAAGGATATCAAACTGATACCAAACATTATTGACACAAAAAACAAGAATAAAAGATGAAATTTTCCCATGCCATTGCCAGCTCCTCCCTGAAAGAAAAGTAGCAAGGGATGCTTTAAACAGACAAAATGTGGTAAGGTTCATCACTAATCTTGCATATGACTTGACATACAATTAATCATGAGGCATGGTGAGGTGAAATTGGGTTTAACGTCGCGTCCAAGATTATTGCACTTATATAGCGACGTGCATGTACTTGTGTGTGTGTGTGGCTGCTTGTACTAGTCCGGACTGATGCCGATTTATAGTGCTAGCCCACTGAGATACCATGCCGCAGTTTAACATGAATACCCCACTCAGACACAGTATACTGACTCCGAGCCGACCAGTCCTTGTTTTAGCCCCTTAATGCAGAGCGCAAGACAGGGTAACAACAAGTAATATTTTTTAACGTCTTTTGGTATGATGCATACGGGGATCGAACCCAGGACCTTCCGCTCTCTGGGCGGACACTCTACCACCAGACCACGGAGGCCGTCCATGGTAAGATGAAGAAAGCCTCAATATTCTGGACTGATAAGTGCAAACATAATACACTGACAGAATTTTACCAGAATCTGGTTGACAACTATTGATCATCTAGATGTTGATGAACTTGCACTTATCATTTCAGAGGATTTTCATTCATAACTTGTCAAAAAGATGACGTTTCTGAATCCAACCCATCCCAAAGATATCTAGTGCAATTTTTTCAATGATGATCTCCAAGGTTTAAAAATTGTCCAAATAGATTGCTAGCCCTTATCAATGTAAACATAACATAAATATCATTGAAGATTACATTATATATAAGCATGAAATTTATCCATTGCAGAGTTGAAGTTTGAAAATGACATGTGACGTATTCATGACATTTCCTCCATATTAATATCACAGCTATTCCTCACAGAAGCCTATTATTTATCAATCCAAACCAAGCCAAGCCATTGATGGTGGTTTGTGCTGTAGATGCTTTGGAGGCACAGTGACAGACAAACAGGAAAACAGCAGGGCGTTATCTAGGATTCTAAAGTAAGTGCCCTCGGAGGACAAATTGGAATTTTGTTTAAATTTGGTTCCCAATTGGGACATTCTTAAAAAGTTTTCTTAAATTTAAGGGAACGTTAATATTTCAAACAATGCAAATATGTAAAACTAAACTATTTCAGCCATATCACCACATTAAATTATCAGAAAGACGACGCACTATCCACCAGGTGATACATTATAATGAGCAGTATCACACATGATTAACAGACATAACTTCCTGGTCATTAAAGCCCACGGGGAGATCTGGCCTGGGCAACACATGTGGTGGAACAGATGTAGCGAGAATGCTGCGAGGACAACACAATCACACAGGTCACAATAGAGACCCAGTATGAGCCTTCCCTGGAGGTCGTATACAGCAATCATTGTAATCCTCACTACTCGTTTGTTTGTTGATAATGCCCATCTCAGCAAATTTCAGCTGTATGACATCCCCATGTAAATACTCAAGCCAGAACCATACAATCCAGAGATTGATATTGTCAGCAATGATCCACACCATTGAGTACAATGACATGCAAACACCAAGGTACATTGAGACTCCTCTTACAACCGACGGCATCCGTGGTCTAGTGGTAGAGCGTCCGCCCAGAGAGCGGAAGGTCCGGGGTTCGATCCCTGGCCACGTCATACCAAAAGACGTTAAAAGATGGTACTTGTTGTTACCCTGTCTTGCGCTCGGCATTAAGGGGCTAAAACAAGGACTGGTCGGCTCGGAGTCAGTATACTGTGTCTGAGTGGGGTATTCATGTTAACCTGCGGCATGGTATCTCAGTGAGCTAGCACTATAAATCGGCTAAAGTCCGGACTAGTACAAGCAGCCACACAAACACACACACGTACATGCACGTCGCTATATAAGTGCAATAATCTTGGACGCGACGTTAAACCCCATTTCACCTCACCTCCTCTAACAACCATAATCTGGGCCTACTGGTTTTGAACCCACTATCACAGGTTTCTCTGAACAGCAAATTGTGGTGCCTTAGACAGTTGAAAAACCCACGGATCACCTAATATATTTAATATGGCTCCTGCTACAAGTATGGGAAAAACTCGGGACACTCTGACACCACACTTTGCATCTAACAACAGCTACCTACCTTCCAGAAGTCTATGAAGTACTTGAGTGAAGTGATGGCCACATATAGACAGTAGAGGAGGGCATATCCCAGGAACTGCACGAAGAACTTGTAGTTGGAGAACCCCACACAGTTATTCACCCTGTAACCATGGCAATAACATGCTGATTTCTTCTTTGAATCTTAGAAGCATACAATTTTCCATGGGAATATTTTTTCCAAGGAACTTTTATGTTTAATTTGTTCCTAATCTTATGTATATTTGATGTCATATACATGATGTATGTAGGGTATTTTAAAAGCCATTTCAAAGAAATCTGATTGACTGACCTTGAATCTATAAAAGCTCACCTGGATATCTGTGTATATGCCACATATTACTTAATATACATTACTTATCTGTAATAACACAAAGCCAGTGGCTACTGCGGAGTCAAATGATCACAGCCACATTTAATGTGAGAAAAGTATCTGCACAAAGCAGGCAAGACCCCTGTTCCAATGTGGGGAATCTGGGAATTAAACCAAGGTGTTCGGCATAATGGGTGACCCCTAAGTAGTATAGATGATGGGGGTACTGCCTCACCCCACGTGGACCAGGTCCAGTACCCCCATCATCTATACTACCTCATCCCACAGTGTATGTGATGGGAGGCGGCTATAGGCTGCTTACCATGGGCAGTGGTGGTCCATTTTAAGAACACATCTGAAAAAAGAGAAATAAACATATATTTCAGGTGGTATTCTCCATTAACACACTGTGCCAAAATCTTTTTGAGTCTACTAGCCCGAAATTGACTACAAGCACCATTTTCTGTCAATTTTGATGTTATTATTAGACCATTACTATCTGAGCTCACAACACCCTACAGAATTTTAATAGATTCTGGCTTCAGACTAGCTGTCAAAGACTTAGACTGTAGAGTATAGTGTGCACCCATGTATAATGTGCAACCCCCCTCTAGCGGGTTCAATATTTTGAAAAAAAAGAAATTTGAATATTATGCGCAGAAAAAATTACACCGTTCCCCTTCAGCGAAGTCCGGCAAACGAACGGGTGATGAGAAACTTCGTCAGTACAAATTTGAAATTTGAGATAAAAAATCACCAGACATGTTTATTTATGATATAACTTTACAGTATTTTAATGCAAGGGTCGGCAAAAGTTGTATCTGAAACTATTTTTTATCAGGAATAATATATTCCAATATCTTGTTTATTTAGATGCAGCCTTTACTAAACATATTTAAAATAATAATAACCCTAAGCGAAGCAGCTGATTGCTATTGCCGGGTATTATTTTTTACATGGAACTAGTCTGACCAGTCACCGTCAAGGCTCCCGTGCATGTGATCTCATGATCGCAAGAATTACGTGTTGACATAGAATCGTCCAACAAAAACAAATATGACTTTTAACAAATCAAAGTATGGCATTTATGATATATGTATCAATTCTCTGTCAACTAAAGTTCGTTTCAAGGCGTCAATAGCGGTAATCTGACCGTGGTTGCTGTTAATAACGGTGAGTTGTGCGATCTTCCGATCGCTTCACACACGATTTCGCCGAAATTAATTAAAACATTGTTAAAAGGAATTTTGAATAAAATTAATGAAATAAGTTACAAACATAAGTCCAGATATACAAAGAACACTTTTTATAGCCAGACAGTGTAATTACATGAATAATTTGCAAACTTCAGTATTGATTTGTTGACAAGGTATTTCCGGTGTTACGTGCTCACGGTAATGTCTTTCCATGGGGGAAAAACATAAAAAACTCATTAATTTGTGTATAATGCAAACCCCTTCTACACAGCTGTGTTTTTTGGAGAAAAAAAGTGAGCACTATACTCAAGAAAATACAGTATAGCCAAAGTTCAAGACTTTCCATTTTGAGGGGAAAAATATTAATTCAACAAGTGAACCAAAGCTTAAGCTAGGAATTTAACACTTTGAAACCATTAGTAGCAGCTGTTCACACACTAACAGCTACTCTTCCGTGTCTGCAACAGGTGTTGAAGGTGTGAAGGTGTGAAGATGTGAGTTATCTCCCCTGGTACGGTACATGTGTCCTTGATGTTGTCATCTAAACCAACCCCCGGTTGAGTACCCATCAGAGCCCGAGGGCCCATGTATAATAACAAAATTGACTTTGGAAATTAAATATTTCTTACTCATATGCTCATTTAATTCTATTTGTTGTCTGTACTTACCTTGAGCACACTGAACAATGGTGACACCTGTCTGGCTTTATACACCGACATTTTTCACAGTATCTTGGACCTGGAAACCAGAGTTTGTACACAGTTTAACACTGAATGATGCTGTGAGGGCAGAAAGTTTTCAGCTGTTGGACATGTTGTACTGCCTCTATAAGAACAACATGTCCACAACAATATAGAACTGATTACATCTACTTTCATAAGACAATTTCCAAAATAACAAATAAAAGAGGGGTAATGATGCTGGTTTGGGAGTAAATCATACAATGAAATATGTCCAAATTACAGCTTTTCAAAAACAGTCCACATTTTCCTCAGTAAACATTAACTGATTGGAATTTACTAATCAATATCACAATAACAAATATTTGTACCACAAAAATCTTTCAATTGTGCATTGTATGGTACATTTTGAGAATACTTCATGGTTTTTTTTCTCAAAAAGTTAATGTTCATCGACCCATCTGATAAAGATAATCAATAAAGGAAATTACTCAAGAACTTTCATACCACTACACAATTGAAAAATATAAGGGTCACCAACTAAAAATGTAGATATTGGAACGATTAATAATGACCCTTTGCAATGCTGTTTGACAGCTGAACGTTATCGAGTTAGTATGGTCTTAAGCCGCTTTTAGCAATAATCCAGCCGGGGACACCAGAAATGGGCTTCACACATCATACCAATGTGGGGAATTGAACCCGAGTCTTTGGCAAGACGACCAAATACTCTAATCACAAGGATATACCACCACCCCTGAAATTTATCGAAATGCTTTTGTGAACTATCTGACATGCTTAGTTTTGTCACAGCCAGATGTATAAGAAACAAGTTTCTAAATTTCTTGATCTAAAATTAAAATTTAATTGATTAATTAATATTGATAGAAAGTGAAAAAGTTGTTTGAAAGTTCATCCCAAAGTACCACCCTTTGTTTAGAAAGTGAGACTGTCATTTTCTAGTTTTCTAAATAGATCTAGATTGTATAAAAAATGGTATTTAATTGTGTGAGTGAGTGAGTGAGTGAGTGAGGTTTTACGCCGCTTAAGCAATATTCCAGCAATATCACGGCGGAGAACACCAGAAATAGGCTTCACACACTGTACCCATGTCAGAATTCAAACCCGGGTCTTCAGCATGACGAGTGAACGCTTTAACCGCTAGGCTACCCGACCGCCCCGAGTGCAGATTACATGCAAGGTATCATAATTGTCATTTGGAATAAAGCCCTCACTTTCGTCCTTGACTTTGTTCTCAATTGTTCTATTCTAATAAATATGGTGTGGTAACACTTACCTTTATTCATCATAACATAATTCATCGTAAATATTCTAAATTAGTAAAATCTAAATATTTTTTACATTTGTATACATAACCTGCATTAGTCCTTAATTCATTTACTGCTTTCTTTGGCAGAAAAACAAGCTGTGTGAGGTCCAGCTGACGAAAAGTTGTTCCAATGTTCCAACCAGTTGTGAGGCAGACCCCATCGCAAAGCTCCGCGTGACCATGTAAGTGATGACATCACGAATACTTCATCTTACTGCTCGAGCCATCATAGAGGTAACCGTCCTGATCTTATGAGGATTGTTGGCTCTAGGAGGACCAAGGTTAGCGGCTTCATATGCCTGAAGAATGATGACTCGTAGGGATATGGTATTGTGACTGACTTCAGTCGTGGATGTCTTTGAGACGGGAATGAAAAGCTGTTTCCGAAGACCACGTAGAATCTTGGAGAGACGGATGAAAACTCTCAAAGCATGCACTGGGCACAGATGCTGTCATCCGATGAAAGTCCTTGTCCAAGACATGAGCACTGTCAACCATCTCAAAGGCAAGGATGGGGAATTCCTCCCTCTTGAACCTGGGAACCTTGAGGGCTGCAGAGAGTGAGAGCCGAGCAAAGTCCTCATCCAGCGCAGTGACCTTGTCCTTGCGCCTACGATGTGGAGGAATGGAGGTGGGCTGTGACATATTATGTCATTCTTATCAACTCCCGCACCTGGCTAAGGAGCTACTGCAGCAAGTCGGTCGGCCATTCAATAGGGCATCTGAGGTAAGCTGAGATGGGCGTCTCTCTCAGGTGACATCTCATTAGACACAAACGATCCCTCTGAAGAATCGGAGTGGTAACTCTATGAACGACGGACAGGCGAGCGACTCCTGGAACGTAAGGTGCTGGCTGTTACATAGGCATATTAGCAGAAAAGAGATGAGGTGCCTAGGTCTGATGAAACGTGGGGCACCCAGGGGCACAGGGGGAGGCGCTGACACTGACATCAAAGGTGCTGCTGTCAGAAGAGCCTGGGAGGGCGTAGAAAGCAGCACAATACCCATGCCCGGGTAGGTGGAGGCAACAATGGAATCTCCAGTAGTACAATGCTCAGAGGATGTGGCGTAGGCAGTGCCCAGCCCGATGTAGATGGCTGGGACCTAACAACAAGGGTCTCCAGAGTCTCCTGCAGAAAGAAAGTATTCCTGAGAGTCCAACATCCTCTTCTTGTGTCGTAGGGTTTGCTGTGCCAGGCGCTTCCTGGATACCTGTAGCTACTTTGCAAAGCTTGGCAGGTAAAGGGGAGAACAAAAGTGACACTTCAGTTCTGTGGAACAAATACCAGTACAATCAAGACACCATGGGTGAGGGTCCTTAAGTGACTTTTTACCACAGCAACAGACACTAGGGGCAACGAAGCAAAAGTTGCAAAGACCAAATGTACCTAAATATAAGGGATAATAATCCAATTTATGGGGTTAAAGGATAACCATTACACTGAATAAATGCTTTAAAAACCAGGGAGAGGTTAGGTGAAGCAATATTCATAACTAATTTATTCAACTTTTCTTCAGCAGGACCTCCCACAGCTTCATTTTTCTGTCAAAAGAAGGCAGTAAATTCATTAAGGAGTAATGCAGGATAAGTTAACATATTACGAACTACTTTAGTTTTGCACGTAGAAGGAAGTCTTAATCACAAAACGAGAAAAAACGTGTATGTTGTCAAGCACCTACATCCAGACATGGTCCTGTTCAGTATGGGCAGGTTCCTAGCAAACTGTTTGAGCATTTCTCTCTGTCTGTCCTCGCTCGTTTCTCTCTCCAGCTGGTCCGCCTCCGCGGGACTCAGGTAAAACTGACAAACAAAGGTGCATTGATGAGTGAGTGCTCTGTAATAACGCAGTCATCCATATGACGGCAGAAACACATACATAATCAAGACAAACCAATGATGGATAGCAATGATCCACACTGTTAGTATGAGAAGCATGGGGTACTGGGGACCCATTCTGCCCTGGAATCCCCACAGGATGAACAGGGTACTGGGGACCTACTCTGCTCTGGAATTTCCACAGGGGACCTTTTCTTTCCTAGAATCCCCATGAGGAGACCAGTATTGGTGACTTGGGACCAAATATGCAGTGGAATCCCTACAGAGTGACAAGCATTTGGTACTGGGCACCTACTCTACCCTGGAATCCCTACAGGATGACAAGCATGGGGTACTGGGGACCTAGTCTGCCCTGGAATCCCTGCAGGGTGACAAGCATGGGGTACTGGGCACCTACTCTACCCTGGAATCCCTACAGGATGACAAGCATGGGGTACTGGGGACCTAGTCTGCCCTGGAATCCCTGCAGGGTGACAAGCATGGGGTACTGGGGACCTACTCTGCCTAGGAATCCCTACAAGATGACATGCATGGGGTACTGGGGACCTAGTCTGCCCTGGAATCCCTACAGGATGACATGCATGGGGTACTGGGGACCTACTCTGCCCTGGAATCCCCACAGGGAGACAAGCATGGGGTACTTGGGACCTAGTCTGCCCTGGAATCTCTACCGGATGACAAGCATGGGGTACTGGGCACCTACTCTGCCCTGGAATCCCTACAGGGTGACAAGCATTGGGTACTGGGCACCTACTCTGCCCTGGAATCCCCACAGGGTGACAACCATGGGGTACTGGGGACCTACTCTGCCCTGGAATCCCTACAGGATGACAAGCATTGGGTACTGGGCACCTACACTGCCCTGGAATCCCCACAGGAAGACAAGCATGGGGTACTGGGGACCTATTCTTCCCTGGAATCTCTACCGGATGACAAGCATGGGGTATTGGGGACCTACTCTTCCCTGGAATCCCTACAGGGTGACAAGCATGGGGTACTGGGGACCTACTCTGCCCTGGAATCCCTACCGGATGACAAGCATTGGGTACTGGGGACCTACTCTTCCCTGGAATCTCTACCGGATGACAAGCATGGGGAACTGGGGACCTACTCTGCCCTGGAATCCCCACAAGGTGACAAGCATGGGGTACTGGGGACCTACTCTTCCCTGGAATCCCTACAGGGTGACAAGCATGGGGTACTGGGGACCTACTCTGCCCTGGAATCCCTACCAGATGACAAGCATTGGGTACTGGGGACCTACTCTTCCCTGGAATCCCTACAGGATGACAAGCATGGGGTACTGGGGACCTACTCTGCCCTGGAATCCCCACAAGGCGACAAGCATGGGGTACTGGTGACCCACTCTGCCCTGGAATCCCCACAAGGTGACAAACATAGGGTACTGGTGATCTACTCTGCCCTGGAATCGCCACCGGGGACCTGTTCTTTCCTGGAATCCCCATGAGGAGACCAGTATTGGGTACTGGGGACCCACTATGCCCTGGAATCCCCACAGGGTGACTAGCATTTGGTACTGGGGACCTACTCTGTCCTGGAATCCCCAAAGGGTGACTAGCATTTGGTACTGGGCAACTACTCTTCCCTGGAATCCCAACAGGGTGGCAAGTATGGGGGTACTGGAGGTACCTTGTCAATATGATGAATTGTAATATTCACATGTCAAAGAAATGATTTCTAATGAGTTCTAAGTACTTACTTCTTTTGGTACTGGTCCATTACTTGTGAATATTGTCTGCCAGTAGGCCCAGGCAAACATGAAGAGAACCGGATGATACAACAGGAGATATATCACTGAAAACAAACACTGCACAGGTCATCATCTGGGCTATCACAGAATTCAAACAGATTGTTTTCCTTACTTGACTTATTTTCCGTGACCACAGTTGAGTCAATCATAAAAATACATTTGAACCCAATTCTGACCCAATTGCACATGGAACACCATTAGAAACTAATCTAGTTATTGTACTAGTCGATCAAACCAAACAATGAACATCACAATCATTGTTTATTAATATCATGATTATAGCATCCTGCCTTAAGAAAGTAGGTTCATTCCAAAAAGACCACATTACCTTTTTCTGCTATACTTTCAACTGTGACTGCAGAGAGAAAGAAAACCAAGAGATAATACATGAATAAAACAACAACTCCTACCGAACATGCAGAAGATACAAGTCAAGGTGAGTCACCATTGGTCATAGCCAACTATCCACAGCTAATCTTAGATAGGGAATTGACTTTCAATTGCATTTATGTAGGTATAAAAGTTAAAAACAGTGTGCATACTGTGTAAAGCTAATTCTTATACATATGTATGTAAAAAATAATAACTTCATCGACTGCATATTTATCATTAAAACACAAAAACTGTAGACAAAGGAACAAAATCAGTGACATCATTCAATGCAATAACGCAAACAAATCCTCGTCTATTCCGTTATTCTATTATCAGCCAATCAGAAAACAGAAGTCCATTAGTATGAGCGGCCTAATGCTTTTTTCGGTTTATGGAAACAAACTCCAAAACAATATGCTTGGTTAGCCAATCAAATGTCACTGAATCATTTGCAATTTACAAAAAACAACTAGTATTGGGAAGAAAACAACTCAGACCTGCAGATCTTCACTAGTCTCAGACGAAGGACTAGTTACAATGTCTATCCCTGCATTGTCCACATTCACACTCATATCATTAAGTACCAATATAGGATTTTATATGCTTCTCATATTGTAGCAACCCGTGAAGATCTGTGGTAGAATAGGTCTTCAGCAACCCATGCTTGCTGTAAAAGGCGACTAACGGGATCGGGTGGTCAGACCTGCTGACTTGGTTGATGCATGTCATCGTTTCCCAATTGCGTGGATCGATGATCATGATGTCAATCACTGGATTGTCTGGTCCAGACTCGATTATTTACAGACAGTCGTCATATAGCTGGAAAATTGCTGAGTGCGGCGTTAAATAACAAATAAAAAATCATATTGTAGCTCACATATTGTAGCACCAAGTATTGCAATGCATCAATACTTCAGTGACTTGTCACTGCCTTAATCTCCATATGACCCCACAGTATGCTGCCATAAATTCAGTGACAAATGTTTGGTATTCAAGTGAACATAGAAACTCACATTAACTATATTCATCACACAAATACCTAGAGTCATGCTTAAAAGTATTTCATGATCAATTGTTCATATGAATATCTTGGATATGGCAATGATTGCAAAGACACTGATATCTCTCATCATTTTATGACTTTGTGCTGACTATTGTTTTAAGATAGTATATGAACTCATACATAAATAAAGAATAAGGTTGCACGTAATATATCTGTAAGACAGATATTGAAATCACTTCTATGATTAGGACTGTAGCGAGCACATGAAGGACACCTGTCCTTAATCTATGGCATACATAGATACAAGTACATCAGTAAATGGGTAGGCTTTAGCTTCTATAAACTCTGATGGAACAATCACAATCCAAAATCCCAGTAACAAATGTTTCAAATTTATTAGTAGATGCAGCCAACCCTTTGATGAGCTATTTAATATGAAGATGATTAATAAAGGGGATAAAAGGCTTTATCTTTCAAACAATATTGTTTGTTTGTTGTTTAACTCCGCACTCAACAATATTCCAGCAATATGATGGTGGTCTCTAAATAATCGAGTCCAGACCAGACAATCCAGTGACTGATGTCATGAGCATCGATCCACGCAATTGGGATACAATTACACACATCAACCAGTCAGCGAGCCAAACCACCCGAACCCATTAGTCGCCTATTACGACAAGCATCGTCGCCTTTGATGGCAAGCATAGTTTTCTGAAGACCTATTCTAACCCGGATCTTCACGTGTAATTTGAAACAATAACCTATCTTGATGGTTACTAGGCAGTACACAGCATGTCCAGTGAATGTGGCATTATGCTGCAGTCAGCAGTTTTCCAGCTCTACCATTTGTCTACTATGGTAAGTTTTATTAACCCTAGACATGTTAGTAGGCCCAGCTGGCAAGTTAATGTTTTCCTATTCTCAGGGAGAAGTATCATCCCAGAGTAATAGAGTTAATTTCAATGAAATTGTATCATTCACTGTCTAAAATAATTTTTTTTATAGAAAACAGTTCACACATTCATGCATCTCCTCTTTACATAAAATAATATTAAAATGATAAAATACATTAACTTGAAAACATAAATATTTACAATGTTACTAAGGTTTATTTGGGCATAACTTCAATTTACCTGGCACAGCTATATAGCACCAGTAGGTTGCCTCATCCTTATTCCCATTTCTGATCAAGCACCCCAAACAGTCATTATGGTTACACATCCCTCGTTGATCAAGAGCAGAGCTATAGCTATTTGGTTATCTGGGTATTTTTCCCAGGGGTTTGATTTTGAATGGGTTTCTACAATTTATAGGGGGTATTCACCAATCAGCGACTGTTGAAGATACAACAGGTACATTGACCACGATGTGCTTTTCAATTGTCATCTATCAGTATGTTTGATGCACAAGCTTTTCCGAATGTAACATTAGGATATTTTCATGATTTTATCACATTTTGATTTGATATTGATCTCCATCATTACCGAACTTGTAAAGATCTTTGGGACATTTTGGATGGCAATAAGTGCAGGTGTAGCGGCCACAAAATGTCTGAGTCCAATGATGGGATTCGAAACAGGGACCTTCTGATTAGAGGTCGGACGCCTTGTCTACATGACCAAAGAAGTTAACCCCGTCAGCAGGCTGACAAGGTAAGGATGTCATCTGTGGGATGACTCCATACCCTGTTACATAGGGTTAGAACTTAACACAAGCCCAAATGTCCCTATTGTGTTAACATTACAAGGGCCTTTTATCTTTACCTCATGACCTGGGCTAGTAAAGCTATTTAGTTAAGTTCTAACGGAGCAATGTCCTAGAAAATTAACCAATCTGAAACCATGCAAACATGACATTAAACGTGTTAACATCCAAATGCATATTTATGACCACAGTGATTGTGACCAAAAAAAATATTATTATAAATCTCTAGAAAAAAACAAGGAAGTGGCAAGAAAAAACACACTTGCAGTGTTAGTGAAGTAACGTCTTTGTTAATTACATTTACAGCATCAAAGGAGAAATATTATACAAACAATATGTATATGTTAGATACAATGTTAACATTAAAGAATTGTCAGATTGACAGCGCTGTGTCATTCAGAAACGGAGATGACAGGTTGTTGCCGTGTGAGTTTCGAGTCAACACACGTCGATTTCATGACTTATAAAAGGCAAAATAAGGAACAAAATAATGTAAACTTACGGATACACATCTGTATAACATAAGCATAATACGACCAAACTACAATCGCTGTGATAAACAACACAGGAGTCCATCTAACAGCAGAACAACATAAATTGATAGCCGTGGGAGCCATCTTGGGTGTTTGTGTGTAGCTTACTACGTCATCAATTTCTGTGTATTCGTCAATCGGTCATCTTCGGGTTACGTCGGGATCGTTCAAATACACAAATCAATCCGTCTGCACCAGCGAACCTTAATACCAGTCAGCAATGATGTGCGCAGTGCTTCCTGGTCCAACTTGTGTGCAATTAGGTTCTTGGTGTGGAGACACACTGCATGAATATTTAAGTTCATTCAGTTGTGACAATTACAATTTAATCAGTTTTAATTTATTTTATAATTATGGAATTATATATCAAGAAAGGCGCAAGAAAGCCGACATCACAGGGGACCCATCCTCGATGATCCAGGGCATTAATTATGTCTCCATTCTGTATGACAAATACCCTGGCCCCATTCGCCAAGCTGGTTTCCGGTGCACAATTCAATCCCCGTCTCAAATCACACCAGAGCGGCATGGGCCAATGTAAGGCTCAGGTCACGCCTCCTAGGCTCAGAGCACTCCAACCTCGTTGACCCAAATAACTCAACTCCCCACCCACCCCACCCCTTGTATTTTTAAATTGTGTATACATTTTATCAGTTTACTTGAGGCATGTATGTTGTTGGTGACGTAGTGTGCCCCCCCCCCCCCCCCCCCCCCCCCCCCCTCTCTCTCTCTCTCTCTCTCTCTCTCTCAAGCCGTGTTTTCAAAGGACCCTTGCCTCTCACCTCTCTTGGTTGTCTACCAGAACTCTTGCAATGCATACTATACAGTAACATATATATTGCACGATGAAGCCAAACAATATTTGACAACTTTACGTTGCTTACGACATAAATCGAAAGAAAGCATATACAGTAGTTGTAATTCGTTTTCAATTCTAAGGTTGCTATCACGAATTACAACGTCTGGATCTAGCCCCTCTAAAGTCTTCGGCTATTTATATAAACAAATGTCAAATTAGGTTTGATGTTTTTATATTTCATGCAGGTGTTCGTCAATATTGTCACGTGATATCATGGTCACAAGCTAAACCATTCGCAGCTCACTTCCGTTGCACGAGTTTTTCATGCGCGTTAATTTCAGACTCCATAATGAATAGAAGCAGAAGTGACGGATATTCAAGAACATCTCCCATAAACGTCAAATTAATTCAAACAAACTGGTGAGAATTTATTTTGAATTGCAATAAACATGTTTAGATCCGAAATCTCTCTTGCTGGGGCACGGGTGGCCCAGTCGTCTAAAGCGCCGCGATTCGCTGTGCAGAGTTGCGTCCCTTGGGAACGCCTGAAACCTATGATACCCGTTCGAATCCCGGATCGCCCCGATTATGTTTCTAGGTTTATCAGCATCATACCCGTGCTCGTGGGTTTCACCGAAGTTGTAAACGTCTGAGACCTGCATCACTTCGGGCTTTCCTCCCACATTAAGCTGACACGCCGTCATATAACTGGAATACTGTTAAAAGCGACGTTAAACCCAACTCACTCACTCACTCTTGGCCGTGTGGCTCATAATGGGAGATACCTGTTATTGTTTTTTAGAACATTCTCATGATAAATTTATAGTACTCCGAGTGTTATGTTAAGAAACAGACATAATGACAATCAACCTAAAATATACCGGTTTTGTCAATTCTGTTGCACCACGTATGCTATGTAGAAACACATAAAATTCATCCGTTGTAGATGTAATTACACGGTAGTGGTGTATAACTTTTGTCAATTCTGTTGCACCACATATGCTTTGTAGAAACACATGAAATCCATCCGTTGTAGATGTAATTACACGGTAGTGGTGTATAACATTTGTTATCCTGTCTATTTCAAGAGTAAGGGTATAGTTGTCCTAAATAAAGGACGATAGTTCAGTCTCCTTTTTTTCTGTACATTGATGAACTATACGTGTAATTAAGAAACGCCGATAAAGCCTAAATGGACTCATGGTTTTGTTTATTAACACATAAATATCATCGTTTGGATAAACAGCGACTGTGGTAGCATTTTCAAATATAAATAGCTGGTATCATAAAACCAAAGGGCAGCCCGACTCGAGTGGTCAGGCTCGCTGACTTGGTTGATGCATGTCATTGTATCCCAATTCCATGGATGGGTGCACATGATGTCAATCAGTGGATTGTCTGGTCCAGACTCGATTATTTACAAACCACCGTCAAATTGCTGGACTATTTCTGAGTGCGGCGTTAAACAACAAACAAACAAACAATTGTTCACCTGAAACAAAAACACGGGAACATATTGCATCGGACATATTTATTGTCACAAAAGCGTCACATTTGGAAATGTCATCCGCATGTCTACCTTAAAACCTTTTGAAAGCTTGACTAAGGATTGGAATGTTGGTCAGTCCTAAGCACATCCTTGTTCCCTATAGTAGATTATACCTAGACGTCCAAGGTGCCTGGACATGGCTATGTGGGCTCCGTTATTGACCATGCCATGCTTGGACTGTCCCTGTGAAGAATATGGTCAGTAAATATAGGGGTGTATTTTGCTGGTCAGAATGTTCCGAGTAGCGGGGAAAGTATAACCTTCTGCATTCATGGTGAAGTGTAGGAATGAGCTGCGGGTGCTGTCCCTACCCAATGATACCCCCAGTTACCATAGAAAGGCAGTTGTAGTGTCAGCTTATGTCTGGAAGAAGTCTTATATATGGGCTCACTTTGGAAGATGAGAAATATAGCTTTTGGCTATAGGTGCAGACAATGGCCACACTGTCTCGAAATTATCAACTCAAACATTTCAGAATTGCTAAGTATGAGGGACTTGAGCTCACATTTCCGTTATAAATGCTGTCTGCGTTCATCGGCCTTCAGATCAGATACGTTACACACGTGCTAGCATTACTGAGATGAATGGAACTCTTTATAACGCTACTTACATCTCTGGATTCTGACCTTAGGGAATAAATATTTTACGAACGCTTTAAGCAATTTTCTATTTTCATCATGTTTGTACCGACGAGTGAGTGAGTGAGTTGGTTTAACGCCGGTTTTAACAGTATTCCAGTTATATCACGGCGTGTCAGCTTTATGTGGGAGGAAAACCCGAAGTGATGCAGGTCTCAGACGTTTACCAAGTCGGTGAAACCCACGAGCACGGATATGGTGCTGACAAACCTAGAAACATAATCGGGGCGATCCGAGATTCGAACCCACAATCATAGGTTTCTGGCGAGCCCAGGGGACGTAACTCTGCACAGCGAATCGCGGCGCCTTAGACGACTGGACCACCCGTGCCCCCTTGTACCGATGAGGTTTCACTACTAAACTGTTGATATATTGACCGACAGGGGCGTAACTGCCTATACGCACAATACGCACGTGCCTACACTCATATTTTCTAGAATAAATAAAAATATATCTTTTTTTTTTTTTCAAATGTTTTTTTTTGTTGTTGCCTGACATCAGCGTACAAGTGAGAATGATCGCCCCTATATGTACACATAGAATTACTTTTGAGCATTGAGAGAGTCTTGGAAGAGTTTGCTGGTTTAAAATTGACATGCCTAGACTTCATTTGAGATGAAGACATACAATGCGTTTCATATCATGAAATGGTTTTGATCTGGGTCTCGACTGAAGACACGCCAAGACGTGACTTTCCCAAGCAGGAAACTCTTCTATAACGTTTTCCCATCATACCTTCCATCTAGCCAAATAATTAGGTACCAAACTTACCTATAGTATAATAATACATGAAACCTATTTCTAATTTTAGAATTTTTGCTTTGAACATCTGTGGGCATGCTTTGCCGCCTCACATTTACGGTATCCAGTTGGGGACCTCCACTTGTATTTGGTCTTAGCTACGCCACTGGGCGATAAACCTCGGAAAGTGTGGGTATAACCATTACATATTCCTGGGAGAATCGACGAGCTGAAAAAAATTTATCTGGACCAAAACAAAAATCCGTGAAATATCAAAATGGTCGGTCCCTCATCTTTTAAGTTATAGTTAATATATGGGCAAACATTATTCTGGGTGTGGATTCACGGTTCTTTCAACGCAGCATGATATTGCTTCGACCTGGGAAAAATCACTGCTCGACTCCGTCAGGACGGCATTCTGTACCGGAACAATCCGAGTGATGACGTCATAGACAGAAAAAATAGTGATGACGTCATAGAAGAGGATTTTCGAGGAAGCGGAATGACTTAGCTTTGTTTGTTCCTGCACGATTGGCCTTTTAACTCCGCTGATTGTTATTTCACTTGAGACTCACATCCCAGAAGAGAAGGTAATGCAAATATTTTTATCTTCTACAATTATTTCTACTGTCAGTGCAACTGCTTTTCCAGGTTTGATTGATAATGATATTTTTTATCATCCGAAAACCCATAATACGAGGCAATGCGATAGACACACTGATTTTCAGGTAGATTGACAACAGAAACTTTATTCACAATGAAAATAAGAAAACAGTATATGACAATTAATTTAATATGTAGTGACTAGCATATGCTAAAATATCAATATCAAAGGATATGGTAAAAAAAGGGTCCGTTTTTCCCTTTGACTGGGCATTGGATATACGTTATCTAAGACATACTTGAAATACTACTAACTGAAAAGGTAAGGCTTAAATGTGCCAGTGCTTAGCTTTCAGGTTACAGGTTTCAGGAAGTGTGTTACTAAAATATTTGAAGTATTTATTCCAAGCGAAGGACCCGTGAAGATCCGGGTTAGAATAAGTCTTTAGCATCCCATGCTTGCCCTAAGAAGCGACTAATGGGATGGGGTACGGTGGTGAGGCTCGCTGACTTGGTTGATGCATGTCATCGTATACTAATTGCGTAGATCGATGCTCATTTTATCATTCGCTGGATTGTCTAGTCCAGACTTCATTATTTACAGACGACCGACGTGATATAGCTGGAATATCTGAGTGCGGCATTAAACAACAAACAAACAAACAAACAAACAAATCCAAGCGAAGGATATGTAGCTTAAAAACAGGACATACATTATCTCTTTATGGTCTTTTTTTATTCGTATTCGTGTTTTAGTCACAAGTATGTATTTTGCAAGTGTAAGTATGAACAGTTGCTAAACATGTCAGCCATAATGTCATACCTATTAAGCTTTCCGCAACTTTAATATTTGTCATTTCAAGTGGGCCAAAAAAGGCCCCAGCTTTTCACATGAAATGGATGCCTTCGCTTCAGATGACTCAGTATCGGGCAGAACGGTGGAAATACGGGACGCGCCTCTCTCCAGTGCTGGAAGAACCCGATCCCTGTCCGTCTAGTCCTACTGCATCGGATCTACGGGAACATCTGCTCGGTAGATATATACTATGAAATTGCAAACAATGAGTGAATGAACAGAATTTTAACACTATTCCATTTATGTCAGCCTAATGTGGGAGGAAGGCCCGAAGTGATGCAGGTACATATGACCACTGCGCAGCCACTTCAGCTCAAAATGTGACGCAATGCTCTTTAATTCTCTCACCCGTGGGCATTCCTGGTAGGAATATATTGGTCCCCAGCAACCTACATTTTGTAGTAAGAGGCGACTAAATGGACCGGGTGGTCAGTCTCGGCGACTTGGTTGATTGCATGTCATCGTATCCCGAATTTGGATCAATGTTCATGATGCCATTCGATTGATTGTCTAGCCCAGATTCGATTGTTTACAGATCTCATGATATAGTTGGAATTATTGTTGAATGCCGCGTTCAACAAACAAAGAAATCTTTCATTCTCTCAAAATGCACGTATGATTCTGAAAACATCGTCTCTGGCATTGCCAGACTGAGAAAGATGAACTTTGGCATGTATGTTTCTCCTTACAACATCATATTTTGTTCATTTAATGGAAACAATTGAAAAAAGTATTGTCATTGGAAGAATTATTTTACTGAAAAGTAAGCCTATATAAAACTCAGTGGAAATAGTGTGTAAAGTAACTGTGATGTATTGCAAAAATGTCATCAAATAACAGTTGATTCTTGCTGATTAGAAATATTATGGAAACATAATTACTTATCTCCTAATTGTAAATACTGCTGTCCACGGTATTTAAGCAGAAAATACTATGAACATCTATGCCGACAGCAACTGTTGTCTACATATCCAGGGGACCTAAAGCATCATGGTATTATTTTTTATTATTACATTTCCATACATGTTTGTTTTTTTTAAAACTGATATTTGTATTTGAATTTGTCATTGGCCATAACATCTTTTTCTTTCGGCATTTTGTCATTTTAATATGGAATGGTAACACATAAAATGTGTTCGACTGCAATATATGGTTGTCCATGTTTTCACACTATGCTGATTGTTGTTTTTTCACAGCTCGATACAGGGAGATAAAATTTCAAGTTGGAATTGTAGTGGAACGGTAAGCAATCTAAAGTTCCGTAAGTTCTTTCTGTTCATGAAAAAAGAGATATCAATTATTATTCGAGCATGTTTTGTAAGAAAACCGTATTTTATCCCCGAACTTATACAAACGCCTGCGTTATAAAATCTTTGTTTAATTTTTCCCCCGGGGGATTAAGCGTAAACTAATTGCTGGGTCGATGTTGTTGACTATTTTCTCTCCAACATCAAGGATCGCGACTTTCTATACGTTAGAAGGCCACACTTTCTTATGCATGGTTTATGGATTCTTTAATAACAAATCGTATTGAGTTGGAAAAAACAAAGCGCCGAAACAACCAATATTTTTACTCTTCTGAAAGTATTAAAATAGTGCCCTGTGTGCAATATTCATCAAACTTGTCTCGTACATTTTACAGTTTAACATATCATACACACATTTCTTTGTCAACCCAAAGTGTGCATTCATTGAAGAAAATGAATACTGGTTCTTGGAGTATTATTTATCACTTTTCATTTTGATGTGTCCATAAGCCAAATTTTAACAAAATGTATCGGTAACTTGCCCTCTTCTTTACATTGTTGCCATGAGATATATCTTAACCAAACTTGTCACATGCATGGATATAGTCTAATTGGTCAAGTGGTGAACTGGTGCCTTTTGATAGTTTGGGATTTTCCATGGCAACGACTTTGACTTAGACCGGACATGTCATATTGGCGGGGGATATGATTATTTCATGCTTGGTTTAATATTGTAAAGCAATTGCGTGCTGGTATTAATATGTTACATTAACATATAACTATGTTGGGAGTGTCATGCCATCATTTATGTGGAACATATTGTTGTGTCTCCGGCAGAGTTGTTGATCATCTCCTGGATGAGAACCAGAAACTGCGGCAAGAAAATGAGCAACAATACATTGACCTTGGCCTCAGAGATTATAAACTGGAGAATTTCAACTACATGCTCAGCTGCAGCATGGGTCCCGTAGATTTCCAGGAAGTGAAACAAAGGTTGGACAATCTCGCCAAAAGCTGGGAGTCGGAGAAACAGGCGGGGGTGCGTCAGAGGAAGATGCTGGAGGAAGAGCTGAAACAGCTGAGATCCTCTCATCAGCATGTTGTGAGTGAACTAGCAGCCCTCCGGCCACAGACTGTCCAATTGACCTGTCAGGTTCCAGACAAGAATCGGACAGGCCCCACCACCATACCTCCCCCAGTCCACCCAAGGAAGGTTCATAGATTATGCACCAGAAGGTCCAAGAATGTCACGTGCAGCAACACAAAATGGCGAACGAAAGACCCCTCTGCCTCAGGGGACAGCCTCAACAAGGCCAAGGTCACAACCGAAAGTAAGAACAAGTCGAAGGTCATTTCCGACGGGGGAATTATGTCCAAAGAGAAGCCAAGTCAAAACACCCAAAAGAAACCCCTCCCACCTGCAAGACCTATTCGGGTAACCAAGGAGGCCGCTGTTCGGAAGACGCGATAAGAAACTAACTTTTTCTTTCAAATGACTGTCAATGTAAGGTGTGAACAGTGCCAGAAATTGTACATTTGCAATACATTAGCCACATGTTAATGATTGGTTCAATTTAGCAAATGAATATAATTGTGGATTTTTCTCAGGTGTTGTGTGGTTACTGGCTGCTATAAGTTGTGTATACATAAACTGCTAGGAAATAAGCGAATAGAACGTCAATACTATAATGAAGACGTTTAAACATTCTGTGTAGAAACAAATTCTTACTGCTCTCGGTTTAAAATTACAACACAAGAGTTCTACCAGTCAAATATTGGAATGAATTCTCTGAATTTAAAATTGAGTGAGTGAGTATAGTTTCACGCCGCTTTTAGCAATATTCCAGCAATATCACAGCGGGGGACACCAGAAAAGGACTTCATACATTGTACTCATGTGGGGAATCGAACCCGGGCCTACGGCGTGACGAGCGAACGCTTTAATCACTAGGTTACCCCACAACCCCGAACTTTAAATTGACAAACCTTACATCAAATTTACTAGATAAAAATTGTTATTTGAATTGATTGAGCATCAGTTCGTGAGTGAGTTCGGTTGAACACTGGTTGAGTTGTTCTACTGACTGTCAGGGTGGTCGAGTAGCCTAGTGGTTAAAGCGTTCGCTCATCAGGCGGAAGACCCGGGTTCGATTCCTGACATGGGTACAATGTGCGAAGCCCATTTCTTGTGTCCCCCGCCGTGATGTTGCTGGAATATTGCTAAAAGCGGCGTTAAACCATACCCACTCACCACTGTCATGTGTGAGTATAATGCAGTGTCTGAAACAGGTGAGCACCGCTGCTCGAGCACAGAGGTATGGTGTTGAAACATCTACTATTACCGATGTCGACTCCCTGGTTATATATATGCCTAACTTCTTTGATAGGTATTTAGAAGTTGGAGTACTAAATAAGGATAAGATTTATGGATGAACAACTTCTTTATTACAATTAAGAGCGACGTTTCGGTGTATGTTTTAACATCGTTATCAAGTGCTTGATAAGTTAAACGGTGTTAGAACCTACACCGAAACGTCGCTCTTAATTGTAATAAAGAAGTTGTTCATCCATAAATCGTATCCTTATTTATATATATGCATGTCCAAATAACGCCACATAAATTTAATTCTGGAAGTTACATGTGTGCTAAAATAAAATGCAACATATGTGTTAAACTGCATAATCTTTATTTTAGAAATTCAAATAGATTATGAACTGGGATTTTTTTTCTCCTGTTGCTCAGTCGTATGGCTGAGACGGCACCGTGTCAACACGTCACCAAGCATCTTTACACAACCACGTTTATGTCGCCTTTCACAAATCATGATCAACCTTAAAGTTAGAATGTTGCGGACAATTGCTTCTTGTCGGTGTTTTCCGATTTGGCAAATATTGTAGAAAGAAAATGTACGATAAGGTCACGATACCGGTGAAGATCCGGATTAGAGTAGGTCATAAGGTTGCGTGTCTTATACTTCAAAGGCTATAGTCTAAGCACGTTTTACTGATGTTAATTTAGGGTAAAATGAAGACAAGGTGTCAGTACTTAATCCAGTTAATCCCTTGCCTGCTTTGAAAAGCCGCGCGTGGCCGGGGATGTTTTGGTAGTCAAATTTGTGACACGTGAGCAACTCAGATATAAACAGTTCGTTGAACACATTAGCATTGTCGCTGACAGAGTGCACACGGAACCACAAAGTGAGTTCGCGATATCTATTATTTCGTTATAAGCGTGTTTGTTATATCCATAAATTTTATGTTATAAAATATGCAGCCAATGACCGGAACCGAAAAAAACAGTTCGTTATAAGCGTGTTCGCTATAAACATATAGTTAACTGTAGAGCATTGCTGATTGCGGCGTAACACACGTAGTTACAGACTCAATACGATCTGCCGTACACAATATTGAGTATAATCATGTGAAGGTGCGCATCGAATTCAATGTCATGTTCGACCGGTGAAGATCCGTAAAAGGCGACTATGCTTGTCGTAAGAGGCGACTAACGGGATCGGGAGGTCTGGCTCGCTGACTTGGTTGATGCATGTCATCGTTCAAATTGTGTGGATCGATGCTCATGATATCAGTCACTGGCTTGTCTGGTCCAGACTCGATTATTTACAGACCGCCGTCATATAGCTGGAATATTGCTGAGTGCGGCGTTGAACAACAAACCAACCAACAACCAACCAATGTCATGTTCCATATTGGGGACTGGGGAGGCCCAATCGTCGCAGTTCACTGTTCAGAGTTGCATTCCTTTGGTGTACCACAATCCACGTGTGCCGCATGTGGTAGTTATAATTCATGTTTCGGTACACTCTGAGTGTTGGAGGTGGCGGGGAAGCTGGTGACCGGAACTACACACAATACAACCGGAAGCTCAAAGAGAAGTTATTCCTGAAGTCCAAGGAGATGGCGTTGCTGGAGACACTGATATCAACCAGGCCCCTCCCAACACACACATGGGCCTTAGGTAGTGAGTGACTTTAACAGATTGAAGGCTAATGAAAAGCTATTTGGACTAGTTGTTTTCTTCCAAAATCTAGTTATTTTAACCAATAATCCAAAATGAGTTGTGGACTGGTTGGAGTGAGTGAGTGAGTTGGGTTTAACGCCGCTTTTAACAGTATTCCAGTTATATCGCGGCGTGTCAGCTTAATGTGGGAGGAAAGCCCGAAGTGATGCAGGTCTCAGACGTTTACCACTTCGGTGAAACCCACGAGCACGGGTATGGTGCTTGACTGGTTGGATATGACCATTGGTGTCTACCCCTGCAATTTCATTTGACAAAAGGACTTCGGACTCCTGTGATCAGATCGAACATCCTCCGGTTAGCAATGGATAGAGATGCGTGAGGTCGGTGATTCGATCCCCTGGTCGCGTCATACCAAGACAGGTTTACCGATGGCACTGGTGAGAAGATGAAACAAGGACAGGTCGGCTAGAAGTTCGTGTAACGTGTCAGAGTTGGTTATCCATGTTATAACTGCGGCATGATATGTGACCACGGGAAATGAACGTTTCCGAGCAATATGGGTCCACCAGTGACGTCATCCTATTGTTGTTACGGAGCCTTCATTTCTATAAATGACCATGACTACAGGTTTATATATTTACATACGGAATAATGTAAAATGAAACGAGAGAAGACTTCTATATATATTTAGTGGCTCGAACTCGCAACCTTCGCATCTGTACCCAATAAATGGGTTATCGGTGCCTCTGTAACCAAGCGAGTGGGCCACTAGCCAAAGGAGCCGCTGATAAATCACAATGTGCATGTACGCCAGCAAGAGATATTTTACGTCCGTTTCATAAGGTTTACAAAACTGTTGTTAAAATTGTTGATAAATGTTTGTTCACATTTAAATTTTCATTCGGTTATACGTTAAAGACGAGGAGGACGTTTTATCCTATATATAAACGACCAGTTAAACAGCTAATGAGTCAGAGATTCAAACAGTTTTATTCAGAATAAGGCCTCCGGCCCAAAATACATACATGTACAAACGCAAGATCATGCATGCGCATTATATTTACAGATTTACAATTGGGTGTTTCTTTAAAATATTTACATGATATAGGAATAGACTGAAATTTCTGATAACATCAATGTTTCAACTTTTCATGGTAGAAATCAAAATGTTAATTGAGGATATGTACTCAAATATTTTACAATGAATTTGTTTCTCAATTCAGAGTAGGAGTGACATTCATAGGAAATGGAAAAATCGTCTTCAACAGCAAAATAGCCTTTAAGCTTGTATGGCATACAGTGTCTTTCGTTATATATATTTTTCCGCCAGTCTTAACAGCAAGTCTGAAATTGCAACATCTAAATCTAGAAAAGGATGTTCTCCAAAGTTGAGGAAGATCACCTATGCTTAACAAAATCTTTTTAGTAAGAACACTTATGATTTGCATGTAAGGATGTTTGCCGTGACTGGGAGAGATTATCATGTAGTCTTTGCTTAAAGTGCAATGAAGACTGCTTGGTTTCCAATTTCCTGACTAATCCAGGCAAAGCCAAAGCCAAATGTAAACATAATATTTCTTATTTGTGTCGCCCATGATTTACGACCTACATCATCTAAAGACTTTAACATAATAACATTGTTTTGGCAGCCTGTTGTTTGCTAAATGTAATAGTCTGCACCAAAACGTCATTGCCCTTGTCATATATACAAGCTACAAAGGCACTCTTCCTCATTCCCCTAGAACCACGTCATGACAAGTTGATTTACCAACCTTTAAACTACATTTACAAAATTTGCAGATTCAATGGTATTACAATATCTGGTGCACAATAATCTTAGTTTTATTCAGAATTACTTTCATGCCAGTATGTTTACAAAAGCTGTGATCGTATCCCAATTGCGTAGATCGATGCTCATGACATTATTCACTGGATTGTCTGGTCCAGACTCGATTATTTACTGTCTGCAGTCATATACCTGGAATATTGCTGAGTGCAGCGTTTAACAACAGACAAAATAATTCCAGTACTGTTATCTTTCTCTGCAATTGTGAACAGGTGTCAGACATTGCTGAGACATGATCAGCAAACACGGGGGAGAACAAATGATTGACAGAAGAGGTAACAGCAATACCTTGACCACTCCCTCTTCCCAGTGAAAATAACTTGATAACTGTGATAATTATTTGTGGACTTAAAACACATCCTTGCCTATGGCACAGCTAAAACCTTTAGACCCGTGAAGATTCCGGTTTAGAATTGGTCTTCAGCAACCCATGCTTGTCGTAAAAGGCGGCTATGCTTGTCGTAAGAGACGACAAACGGGATCGGGTGGTCGGGCTCGCTAACTTGGTTATTGCATGTCATCGATCCCAATTGCGTGGATCGATGCTCATGATATCAATCATTGGATTGTCTGGTCCAGACTCGATTATTTACAGACCGCCGTCATATAGCTGGAATATTGCAGAGTGCGGTCTTAAACAACAAACAAACAAAAAAGATATAGCTTTAGAGGTTCTGAAACAAGCAGATAAATTATCATACATTGGTGTCATTATTTCAAACATTTACTGTTAATACCACTTCACACAATCGATGCTCATGATATTAATCTCTGGATTGTCTGGTCCAGACTCGATTATTTACAGACCGCCGTCATATAGCTGGAATATTGCAGAGTGCGGCCTTAAACAACAAACAAACAAAAAAGATATAGCTTTAGAGGTTCTGAAACAAGCAGATAAATTATCATACATTGGTGTCATTATTTCAAACATTTACTGTTAATACCACTTCACACAATCGATGCTCATGATATTAATCTCTGGATTGTCTGGTCCAGACTCGATTATTTACAGACTGCCGTCATATAGCTTGTATTTTGCTGAGCGTGGCGTAAAACGACAAACCAACCAAATCACCACAATGAGTGCAGAAGAACATTATGCCTTAAAGTGCAAATGCCTTGGAAAAGTCAATGAAGAGACAGTAAAATCTGCCTTTTTTCTTACCACGATATTTTTGAACGATAGCCTGTAATAAAATATATTGTAAATAGTGGAGTATTGAGCCCCAAAACCAGCTAGTTATCTAATAATAATGTTTTTTTTAACTTTTGGTGTTCGTTTGTTTGTTTGTTGTTTAACGCCGCACTCAACAATATTCCAGCCATATGACGGTGGTCTGTATGTAATCGAGTCTGGACCAGACAGACCACCTCCAACCTTTCCTGGTTATTTTTGTGATTGTTTTGACGCTGTCGTCGAAATTTAATCAAATGAGATGGTTAATGGGTCAGTAGGTTCCGGTATTCTTCCATCAGGACACAAACATGAGATCATGGTTTGATGCGGTTCTTAACGAATCAAAATGATACAAGTAATCAGGGCACATGTAACAAAGGCAGGTAAGACTGGAACACTCAAAACAAATACCTTTAACACTACCAAAGTAGTGCGCAGGTTTGAAAGTCAGCAGATAGTGTGGAACCATGGTCATTGTAGTTCCCCAATCTGGCACCAGCCTGTCCTGCCTGGTGCTGTCCAAGTTGTGTATTGAGAGAAGGACTGAAGCTTACTGAACTTACGTGAGTATCACACCATGTGTGGCCTTAGTCATTGTATGTGTGTGCGCAGTACATGCATGCCTATGTGGGTAATTAGGACTAATGGTCGTCATGAATTAGCGAACCACTCTTAACCAGGCGAGTTGTAAGTCATGGCTGAGACTGACCATGACAACACGGTTTTTGTTTGTTGTTTAACGCCGCACTCAGCAATATTCCAGCTATATGACGGCGGTCTGTAAATAATCGAGTCTGGACCAGACAATCCAGTGATTGACATGAACATCGATCCACGCCATTGGGATCAATCACATGCATCAACCAAGTCAGCGAGCCTGGCCATCCGATCCTGTTAGTCGGCTTTTACGACAAGCAGAGTCGCCTTTTACGGCAAGCATGGTTTTCTGAAGACCTATTCTACCCCGGATCTTCACGGGTCTGACAACACGGAACGGCAATACGTTCAGGTAACTGTTGTAGGGTCCCTTGACGCCCCCAAACGTAGTTACGACAGTATACAGAGAAGGCAAGACCTACTTGAAGTGTATCGAGTCACTTTGTAGTGCCTATTTCATGACAGTTAACAACTTCACACAGTTGAAATACGTGCCCACAATCACAAAGAGGTCATTTTCCTTATGCATGGTATGCATTAAAGGCAATGGTAACTGATCGAGGCAAGACAGGACAACAACTCACGTCCCAGCATAGGGACCATGTGTCGGGACTACTTATACATTTAATATTTATATGTACAATTTATTTATCTGCCTATTAAATAAATAATTCCAGGATTGTGATGGTGCATGACGCCACAAGCATCAATCAATGATCGATCCTTGGGATGGGAAGGGTGCTTCACATATACTATGCTTCAGCCATACAGGGGCCATACATTTAAAAGACTGTTTTGATTTAGACAGGGAATTAGTTGGCAGTTTACAGAATCTGATGGGCAATTCAAGACGAATTGTATGACAGTGTACTGACTGTATCACACATGTGTAATCTGTATGACAGGTGTACCGACAAGTCATAGCTTGGATCTGAATTCTACCTTTGACCCGAGACCTTCCATGGAACTGAGTCCTGCCATGGATCCGAGTCTGCCATGGATCCGATGCCTTACATGGATCTGAATTCTACCATGGATCCAAGTCTACCATGGATCTGAATTCTATCCTGGATCCGAGTCTACCATGGATCCAAGTATACCATGGATCCGAGTCCTTCCATGGATCTGAATTCTACCATAGATCCGAGTCTACCATGGATCCAAGTCTACAGTGAGTGAGTGAGTGAGTGAGTGAGTGAGTGAGTGAGTGAGTGGAGTTTGTCTTTAGTCAATGTCTGCAATCTTCAAGCTGTATTGCGATCAATGAAGCCTTGGAACACATCAGATATAATGTAAGAGCAGTTTATTCACAATTGTTTCCTAACAAGAAAGTATACTGCAAGTATACAAATCAACACATGACACCATTGTCTGAGATTCAACTCATATTGAACCACACTAGCTGGATGTTCAGATAACAGACATTCAGCAGGCCAACAGTCTTCATCCAGCGTCATCCAGTCTTGCTTGACAATGGTATAAGGATCTATACCGAAACGTCGCCTTTTACAGTATTAAAGAAGTTGTTATCCATAAATTGTGTCTACTTTGTCAGTGTCAAACGGCTGCTGCAGTTGGTATCTATATGGATTGATTCAACCTGCTTGACTTGTAAAAAACAAAACAGCGCAAAATCTGTAAGACAAATCTGGGTAGCTTGTAAAAACATTTGATACCACATTCCTAAAGAATAATGCAATTTCCATTTACAACAAAAAATATTTGTTGAGCAAGTCTGTTTAACAATAGGGTAAACGACAGATTGAGTATAGAGTGTGCAATACTCTGAATAATTCAGGATTCAAACCCGGACCACAAGTTGGTACTTTACTGACTGACTGCTGAAGGTTCTGAGGTAAGGGTTAGGGGGAGATAACTTGAGATAGAATGTCAGCATAGTTATGACTGGTGTCCACTTGGTCATCCTCTCTACATCTTCTCCAGAGGATTAATGGCCAGGATGTGGAAGATGGCGCTGATGATGTTAGTTGTGGCTTCACACAGCAGGAGACGACTCATGTTGATCTTCTTCACTTCACCTGAAACACACAGACATACGTTATCAATAGTTATCTCCCTTGAATAAATAGCACTGATCAACACATCAAATGCCAGGGAGATGCAGTGATAGCTACAGCATATGCCAGGGACATTCAATGGTAAATACACTATATGCTGCAGAGATGCACTGACAGCAACAGTATATGCCAGAGAGATGCACTGATAGCTACACTATATGCCAGGGACATTCACTGATAGCTACACTATATGCTGGAGAGATGAACTGATAGCTACATTATATGCCAGAGAGATGCAATGATGGCTACACTTTATACCAGGGAGATGCACTGATAGCTACACTTTATACCAGGGAGATGCACTGATAGCTACACTATCTGCCAGAGAGAGGCACTAATAGCTACACTATACCTGGGAGGAAGAATGATAGCTACACTATATGCCAGGTAGATGCACTGATAGCTACACTTTATACCAGGCAGATGCACTGATAGCTACACTATATACCAGGTAGATGCACTGATAGCTACATTATATACCAGGCAGATGCACTGATAGCTACAGTATATGCCAGGTAGATGCACTGATAGCTACACTTTATACCAGAGAGATGCACTGATAGCTACACTATATACCAGGGAGATGCACTGATAGCTACACTATATACCAGGTAGATGCACTGATAGCTACATTATATACAAGGGAGATGCATTGATAGCTACACTATATGCCAGGGAGATGCACTGATAGCTACACTATATGCCAGGGAGATGCACTGATAGCCACACTATATGCCAGTGTGGCAGACTGATAGCTACACAATATGCTGGAGAGGGGGACTGATATATACCTGGGAGGCAGAATGATAGCTACACTATATGCCAGGGAGATGCACTGATAGCTACACTATATGCCAGAGAGATGCACTGATAGCTACACTTTATACCAGGGAGATGCACTGATAGCTACATTATATACCAGGGAGATGCACTGATAGCTACACTATATGCCAGAGAGATGCACTGATAGCTATACTTCATGCTGGAGAGGTGCACTGATAGCTACACTATATGCCAGGGAGATGCACTGATAGCTACACTATATGCCAGGGAGATGCACTGATAGCTACACTATATGCCAGAGAGATGCACTGATAGCTACACTATACCTGGGAGGCAGAATGATAGCTACACTATATACCAGGGAGATGCACTGATAGCTACACTATATGCCAGAGAGATGCACTGATAGCTAAAATATATGCCAGGGAGATGCACTGATAGCTACACTATATTCCAGTGATCTGGAATCCCTAATTCTCAAATCAGTTAACAAGATATATTGCAAAACATGAGACCGACATCCTAAACCTAAAAACTCCCACTAATTTCCATTTCAATGTATTTCTATAACTATCACTCACAGTGTTTGGGACCTTGCTCTGTCAGACTTGTAATCTGAAACCTACACTGGGAATGTTTAATGTTCCGAACGACATTTTGCACTTGAGTTACATTTGTCATTCCCTGTGACCATGTTTGTAAATGAGAAACTATCATCCACTCCTGTTGTTTTTCTTAGGTTTCAGAGCATTTATCTACGTTTATCGGGCGAGTCAAATCTCTGCATGTCAACCTTCCCACACAATGACATGGCTCGCAACACATTAAACATGATTGTGAAAAAACTGCCTCATTTATATTCTGTGATAAAGTGTGAGAAGAAAAACATGCTTGTCACAGAGTTACTCTGGTGCTTCCTTACATAAATGTCTCCTCAATCAATAAAAACAAATTCGATTTCAAAGCTGGTTGTCTATTAAAGTCCCATCTGAGATAGTCGCAGAAGGGAGTTTATGTGTGCAAGACAGCCAGTTTACATGCATTGTACACCCAGAGAGTGAGTGAGGGTTGTTTCAGGGTGAGTGACTGGGGGTTTCTGAGAGAGTGAGAGTTTCAGAGTGAGTGAGGGGGTTTCAGAGTGAGTGAGAGGGTTTCAGAGTGAGTGCCGGGGTTTCAGAGTGAGTGCAGTGGTTTCAGAGTGAATGAGGTAGTTTCAGAGTGAGTGAGAGTTTCAGAGTGAGTGCAGGGGTTTCAGAGTGAGTGAGGTAGTTTCAGAGTGAGTGAGAGTTTCAGAGTGAGTGAGGGGGTTTCAGAGTGATAGTTTCAGAGTGAGTGAGGTGGTTTTAGAGTGAGTGCAGGGGTTTCAGAGTGAGTGAGGGGGTTTCAGAGTGAGTGAGGGGGTTTCAGAGTGAGTGACAGGGGGTTTCAGAGTGAGTGAGAGTTTCAGAGTGAGTGAGGGGGTTTCAGAGTGAGTGAGAGGGTTTCAGAGTGAGTGCCAGGGTTTCAGAGTGTGTGAGGGGGTCTCAGAGTGAGTGAGAGGGTTTCAGAGTGAGTGCGGGGGTTTCTGAGTGAGTGAGGGGGTTTCAGAGTGAGTAAGGGGGTTTCAGAGTGAGTGAGAGTTCAGAGTGAGTGAGAGGGTTTCAGAGTGAGTGGGTGAGGTGGTTTCAGAGTGAGAGAGGGGGTTTCAGAGTGAGTGAGAGGGTTTCAGAGTGAGTGAGAGGGTTTCAGAGTGAGTGAGGGGGCTTCAGAGTGAGTGAGAGGGTTTCATAGGGAGTGAGGGGGCTTCAGAATGAGTGAGGGGGTTTCAGAGTGAGGGGGTTTCAGAGTGAGTGAGGGGGTTTCAGAGTGAATGAGGGGGTTTCAGAGTAAGTGAGAGGGTTTCAGAGTGTTAGTGAGAGGAGATCCAGAGAGTAAGAGGGATTTCAGAGAGTGAGTGAGGCGGTTCCAGAGAGTGATTAAGGTAATTTTAGAAATTAAGTATGGGAATTTCTTTATTAATAGTGAGTGAGGGGTGAGAAAAGAGCGTGACTCTGATAAACATTGTGAGCTACTATGACATGCCATAAACCACGTCATCGAGTCTGACCAACTCATTCATTAAGTCTCCACTTACAACAAGCATAGGTTACTGGGGACCTGTTCAAACATGGAATCTCCATGGGGGCAGCGTATTTGAGGTGAGGTGAGTGAGGTGGTTTCAGAGTGAGTGCGGGGGTTTCAGAGTGAGTGAGGGGGTTTCAGAGTGAGTGAGGGGGTTTCAGAGTGAGTGACAGGGGGTTTCAGAGTGAGTGAGAGTTTCAGAGTGAGTGAGGGGGTTTCAGAGTGAGTGAGAGGGTTTCAGAGTGAGTGCCAGGGTTTCAGAGTGTGTGAGGGGGTCTCAGAGTGAGTGAGAGGGTTTCAGAGTGAGTGCGGGGGTTTCTGAGTGAGTGAGGGGGTTTCAGAGTGAGTAAGGGGGTTTCAGAGTGAGTGAGAGTTCAGAGTGAGTGAGAGGGTTTCAGAGTGAGTGGGTGAGGTGGTTTCAGAGTGAGAGAGGGGGTTTCAGAGTGAGTGAGAGGGTTTCAGAGTGAGTGAGGGGGCTTCAGAGTGAGTGAGAGGGTTTCATAGGGAGTGAGGGGGTTTCAGAGTGAGTGAGGGGGTTTCAGAGTGAATGAGGGGGTTTCAGAGTAAGTGAGAGGGTTTCAGAGTGTTAGTGAGAGGAGATCCAGAGAGTAAGAGGGATTTCAGAGAGTGAGTGAGGCGGTTCCAGAGAGTGATTAAGGTAATTTTAGAAATTAAGTATGGGAATTTCTTTATTAATAGTGAGTGAGGGGTGAGAAAAGAGCGTGACTCTGATAAACATTGTGAGCTACTATGACATGCCATAAACCACGTCATCGAGTCTGACCAACTCATTCATTAAGTCTCCACTTACAACAAGCATAGGTTACTGGGGACCTGTTCAAACATGGAATCTCCATGGGGGCAGCGTATTTTGTCGCGTGAGTTGGTCAAATGTGATGGCAAGCAAGGGGAGCAATCCTTGAAGGTATAGAACGTGTCAAAGGGATTTTACAGCATCTTCCTATCTACAGTGTCCGGAGTCATTGTGTGAACACAAATAAGGAATCCATGGTCTGAACATCACCTGTCTGCTTGTCCTTCTCGATGCAGTAGCAGTTGTCATAGAACTCCGTGAAGGTCGTGGAGATCTCGTACAGGTAGTCGCACAGGGTGTGAAGGTAAAGATCATCCAGGATTTTACAGATGATCTCGGGGAAGCGTAGCAAACATTTGGCCAACTTCCACTCCTTCTCATGGCTCAAGTCAATCTGGGTGGTCTTTGCTGCCTTCTTCAGATCATCTGTAGACACTTTGGCTAGACGGGCAATTGACCTAACCAGACAAACAAAGAGTTGACACTTAGCAGTCACAGAGGGATTTTACTGCAAAATTAAAACTACAGGACATATTTTCTGATTCTGCAAATAACAGACTTGAGAAAGAGAATTTATGGATGTCAACTTCTTCATTATGAGGAACACATAATAAAGATGTTGACTTCCAAAACTTCTCTTCCTTATGTGCACCACTTCTAAAATGCCGGGGCAGTCGGGTAGCCTAGTGGTTAAAGCGTTCGCTCGTCACGCCGAAGACCCGGGTTCGATTCCCGACATGCGTACAATGTGTGAAGCCCATGTGTGTCCCCTGCCATGATATTGCTGGAATATTGCTAAAAGCAGCATAAAACCAAACTAAATTCCTTTGAAAGACTTCACAGACTTGAGGCTTCTTTAGGGAGGGAGTTTGGTATAATTCCCTTTGACAATGTTCAGTGATATCAGGCTGTGTCTGTGATGCAGGATGATGATGTTGTGGTGCTGACAAACCTTGAAACATCACAGGGCAAATCTGGGAACCTGAACCCCCAATCATAGGTTTCTGGAATGCACCTAAAGGAAATGTTGCAATGTTTTAAAGCAAAAACCAAACTGCCTAAGACTTCAATGAACCTAACTCCCTTCAATCTATTCCACACTGACAACTGAATGAGAAGGAATACCAACAGGGGGTATTTTGTTTCAGTTCTGAAATTGTACATCTATTTAAAGCATGCCTGCTAGCAATTATTGTTGTGCAAGTTTGGATTCTCTCGCCAATATTGTGATTTGCATGTCAACAGTTTACACACACAACACCACTGATCCCCAAACAGGCATGTTCTGAATAAAATATATGAGACAGAATTCTGCCATTTTCTGTTTCATATCAGAATCTTCATCGGCGTGGGCTTGGGTTTAACCTTGAGTAAGGTTTAGTGCCGCTTTGAACAGTATTTTTAGTTATATCATGGCATGTCAGGCTTGATGTGGGAGGAAAGTGATGAAGGTCTCAGACGTTTACCACTTCGGTGAAACCCATGAGCATGGGTATGGTGCTAACAAACCTAGAAATATAATCAGTATGAAATAGGATTTGAACCCACAATCACAGGTTCTGGCATGCCCAAGGGACGCAACTCTGCACAGTGAATTTCAGCGCCTGAGATGACTGGGCCACCCGTACCCCAATAACAGTTTGCAGTAGTATTTCAGTTTAGCATTGTCTACAAATGGCAAAACTTGGAAGATTGATTTCGGAGGACAGACAGAATTCAACCTTGTGTCTTTTGATATGAAGGCCTCAGAGTTGTAAACTTAAATGACTTGTGATGATATATATTTGATACATAGTGATGGATGTTTACCATGTCCATAAAACACACACGAGCATGGTGTGGACAAAGCAAGGATAACAATAGGGTTGAATCTGTTGCATGAACCCACAACCAGCAGATCCTGTCACAGCTAGGGGACACAACTCTCCAGAGTAAGAAGTGGCAATAAGACTTTTCGGCACCCGTATCCGGGGCTGATAACGATTGTAGTTACCTGATACGAGTGTTGGCGTATAGTAGGTAGGCGGCTGTGTTACCTCGATCATCCAACATCTGAAATAAGGACATAAAATTACTTATTCATTTTTTCATATGTCTGCAATAGTCTCAACTGCTTCATGTTTTGACTCACAGCCCAGCCGCTGGACATACAAATACCGCACGCGGCTATACACGCATTCCTTCTGACTTTTATATGTTTGAGCAAAGATAAAGCTCCTGTCAACTTCAGTGTATGCATGATCAGATCGTATTATGCTTGTATCTAAGTAGTTTTTACCACGGCTCCGGTTAAACAATTCACAATTGGTCATTTAGTACCTTACTCAAGACCAACATTGGTCACCCAGGTAGGGTCGGGCAATAGGGGGTTAGGTACCCGGTAATACGTTTGGACTCATCCCAGCCCTAGTTTGCAAATGTCAAGGTCACAATTGTGGTTGTCGCATGTGCACAAGCTCACCTCTGTAATTTATCATCTCCACATGCAATGTCGTTTAACTAGCCAAGGGAGCTTTTAATATTTGTTAGTGGAACTTGTTCCTGTAGTCCATAAGCATCTGCTTTGGTATTAAACACTGTGTAACACCAGCTTATTGTCATCAGACAGTGGTATCACCGATGAGCGAGTTATAAATTACCTTGTCAAAGGAGAAGACATAGTCGTGTGTGCGGTTGTGGGAGAGATCGGAGTACTTGATGCAGCCATATGCTACAGCCTCCTGGGCCTTCTTCAGCTCCTCGCGGGTCAGAACCTGCACAGACATAACACCTGACTACAACACACACCTTGTAAACTGGAAAACAGGTGTCCATCACACACCTGCAAATACATAACATCTGATTACAACTCACACCTTGTAAACTGGACAACAGGTGTCCATCATGGACCTGCACAGACATAACACCTGATTTTAACACACACCTTGTAAACTGGACAACAGGTGTCCATCATATACCTGCATAGACATAACACCTCATTACAACACACACCTTGTAAACTGGACAACAGGTGTCCATCACGGACCTGCACAGACATAGCACCTGATTACAACACCATCTTGTAAACTGGACAACACGTGTCCATCACGGACCTGCACAGACATAGCACCTGATTACAACACACACCTTGTAAACTGGACAACCTGTGTCCATCACGGACCTGCACAGACATAGCACCTAATTACTACATACAACTTGTAAACTGGACAACAGGTGTCAATTATGAACCTGTACAGACACACCACCTTATAACTACACATACCTTGTTAACTGGACAACAGGTGTCCATCACATACCTTAGACACACCAAACACCCGATTATAACACACACCTTGTAAACTGGACAACAGGTGTCCATCATGAACCTGCACAGCATAGCACCTGATTACAACACACACCTATTAAACCGGACAACAGGTGTCCATCACATACCTACACACACCAAACACCCGATTATAACACACATCTTGTAAACTGGACAACAGGTGTCCATCACGAACGTGCACAGACACACCACCTGATAACAGGCTGGAAAAGGGCCCCCGGCTGTGGACCATTCTCGCTCTTCAAACAACTTCGAAAGATCAAAGACACAACAATTTCATCCATTGTTCCCAATACATGTACTACTGTGTCGACCATGGCCATTCTACACCCAACAAAATGTAAACTTTAAACTGATCTTCAGCTCTGACTAGGTGAAAAGTTAACAACACCACTTACAGGGTATAGGAAAACACCTCACCTAAACACCAGAATGGAGAGCTTAACTGTCATTACATTACAGGGACTGCATCATGCTGGGTTGTTAATGTCAGACAAGAAGGAGCTCCAGGTTGAGTGGAGAGACTTGTTGACTTTACAGGGAACGGGAAATAACACATTATGCCAGACAATTGTCAACACCACCTTTTGGTCCAAGGGATCTATAACAAGCTCAGATAAAGTTCACACCTAAAAATACAAGCTATATTTAGCACACTACCGCAATTACTGGAATCAACATCTATTCAATAACTCAAATAGCTGTCAAACCAGTCTCCCTACAAATCCTGAAAAAGGCAAATGCATTCAAACCAACAGACCAAACTAAATGTTTCTGTATGCTACCAACAATCCTGACCAAACTAAATGTTCCTGTATGCTACCAACAATCCTGACCAAACTAAATGTTCCTGTATGCTACCAACAATCCTGACCAAACTAAATGTTCCTATATTCAACCTACAATCCTGACTAAACTAAATGTTCCTATATTCAACCGACAATCCTGACCAAAGTAAATGCTCCTGTATGCTACTGACAATCATGTTACCGACAATCCTGACCAAATTAAATGCTCTTGAATGCTACTGACAATCCTGACCAAAGTAAATGTTTCTGTATGCTACCAACAATCCTGACCAAACTAAATGTTCCTGTATGCTACCAACAATCCTGACCAAACTAAATGTTCCTGTATGCTACCAACAATCCTGACTAAACTAAATGTTCCTATATTCAACCGACAATCCTGACCAAAGTAAATGCTCCTGTATGCTACTGACAATCATGTTACCGACAATCCTGACCAAATTAAATGCTCTTGAATGCTACTGACAATCCTGACCAAAGTAAATGTTTCTGTATGCTACCAACAATCCTGACCAAACTAAATGCTCCTGTATGCTACCAACAATCCTGACCAAAGTAAATATTTCTGTATGCTACCGACAATCCTGACCAAAGTAAATGCTCTTGAATGCTACTGACAATCCTGACCAAACTAAATGTTCCTATATTCAACCGACAATCCTGACCAAAGTAAATGCTCCTGTATGCTACTGACAATCCTGACCAAACTAAATGTTCCTATATTCAACCGACAATCCTGACCAAATTAAATGCTCCTGTATGCTACCAACAATCCTGACCAAAGTAAATATTTCTGTATGCTACCGACAATCCTGACCAAAGTAAATGTTTCTGTATGCTACCAACAATCCTGACCAAACTAAATGCTCCTGTATGCTACCAACAATCCTGACCAAAGTAAATATTTCTGTATGCTACCGACAATCCTGACCAAAGTAAATGTTCCTGTATGCTACCAACAATCCTGACCAAAGTAAATATTCCTGTATGCTACCAACAATCCTGACCAAACTAAATTCTACTGTATGCTACCGACAATCCTGACCAAATTAAATGCTCCTATATACTACCGACAACCCTGACCAAGCTTTCAAAAAAAAGATGACATCCATCAACTCTCAGCGAGAAAAATCTTCTAAGTGAAGCCTAATGTAACCACACAAATACAACAGCTGCAATATCTGTCTCGTTCTGCCCAATCACAACGAATGGTGTTGACAAAGGAATTATTCAATCAACGTGAAAAGCATAACTTTTGGCAGCAGCAGAGATGCATCATCCTCGAATGTCTAGGCTGAGTTCTTGTCCATCTCCCACTGACTGTGAGGTACCTCTCCTTCAGGGTTGCCCAACTCTCAATGCCAATTAGCTCACAGATACCTTAATCTATCAAAATCAGTCACACTACCACTCATTATTGGGTTGCTGGGCAACAGAAAAAGAACTCTTCAGTCGGCCAAATGTCCAAACATATGATCGTTTAGTGTGTCACAGCCTTCATGGACAGAGTCAGGAATCGATTCAATGAATGATACAAAGAAAACTCATAGTTACCCTGTTACAGAACCATGTCAAGCGAGATACTTTGTTTTTAGGGCCTAATCACGTTGTTCTCTATTGAAGATAAAAAAGATCCTGGGTGAGTGAGGTATCCTGAAAGAGTGAGGTAGCCTGAGTGAGTGAGGGAGTGATCCTGAGTGAGTGAGTGACCTGAGTGAGTGATCCTGAGTGAGTGAGTGAGTGATCCTGAGTGAGTGAGGGAGTGATCCTGAGTGAGTGAGGGAGCCTGAGTGAGTGAAGGAGCCTGAGTGAGTGAGGGAGCCTGAGTGAGTGATCCCAAGTGGATGAGTAATCCTGAGAGTGAGTGATCCTGAGTGAGTGAGGGAGCCTTGGTGAGTAATCCTGAGAGTGAGTGATCCTGAGTGAGTGAGTGATCCTGAGTGAGTGAGGGAGCCTGTGTGAGTGATCCCAAATGGGTGAGTAATCCTGAGAGTGAGTGATCCTGAAAGAGTGAGGTAGCCTGAGTGAGTGAGGGAGCCTGAGTGAGTGAGTGATCCTGAGTGAGTGAGGGAGCCTGAGTGAGTGATCCCAAGTGGGTGAGTAATCCTGAGAGTGAGTGATCCTGAGTGAGTGAGGGAGCCTGAGTGAGTGAGAGAGCCTGAGTGAGTGATCCCAAATGGGTGAGTAATCCTGAGAGTGAGTGATCCTGAAAGAGTGAGGTAGCCTGAGTGAGTGAGGGAGCCTGAGTGAGTGAGTGATCCTGAGTGAGTGAGGGAGCCCGAGTGAGTGATCCCAAGTGGGTGAGTAATCCTGAGAGTGAGTGATCCTGAGTGAGTGAGGGAGCCTGAGTGAGTGAGAGAGCCTGAGTGAGTGATCCCAAATGGGTGAGTAATCCTGAGAGTGAGTGATCCTGAAAGAGTGAGGTAGCCTGAGTGAGTGAACCTTGAGAGTGAGTGATCCTGAGTGACTGAGTGATCTTGAGTGAGTGAGGCGTCAACACATTTTATGAAATTAAAGTAATACAGGAACAAAGACAACAGAAGGAATACTGACACAAGGGACAGGGAAAAATCCACACAACATCAATGATGATGCCTTTAACACACTAGTGACAGAGACCTGTGAAGATTCGGGGTAGAATAGGTCTTCAGCAACCAATTCTTGCCATAAAAGGTGACTATGCTTGTCGTAAGAGGTGACTAACGGGATCAGGTGGTCAGGCTCATCATGTCCCAATTGTGTGGATCGATACTCATGATGTCAATCACTGGGGTTGTTTGGTCCAGACTCGATTATTTACAGACCACCGTCATATAGCTGGAATATTGCTGTGTGTGGCGTTAAACAACAAACAAACAAACTGGTGACAGAGAGCCACACTACATGAGCCTGACCACCCATTCCTGTTAGTCTTGTTCCAAGCAATGACTTGCTGAAGACCAATTGTAGCCTGGAACCTTTACAGGGCACAATAGTGGTGCACAAACCTTTTCTCGTTCCTTCTCCTTCAGTTTAGCCTCTGCTCGTTTCAGCCCCTCGTCCAGGAGTTCCACGAGTCTTATTGACTGCCCCGACCGAGTCTTGAACTTCTTCCTGCAACACAAACAACATGGCTTCAGGAACAGGCCACAAGAAACGGCCATCTGATCCCCTCCATGGGGATTTCTCATGACAAGCATGGCATGCAAGGGACCTGTCCAGCAGAGACCCTTGTTCCTTTCCAGTAGAAACAAAGTCCTGAGCTTGTTGGTATATCTTAGTGCACACAGACAAAGTCCTGGGTGGTATTGTATGAAACAGCTTAGCGCTACAACTGTCATAAGTCTGTGTTAGTGAGTGAGTGAGTTGGGTTTAACGCCGCTTTTAACAGTATTCCAGTTATATCACGGCGTGTCAGCTTAATGTGGGAGGAAAGCCTGAAGTGATGCATGTCTCCGACATCTACCACTTCGGTGAAACCCACGAGCACGGGTATGGTGCTGACAAACCTAGGAACATAATTGGGGCGAACCAGCAATCATAGGTTTCTGGCATGGCCAAGGGACACAACTCTGCACAGCGAATCATGGCGCCATAGACGATTTGGCCACCTGTGCCCCCTATTTCTCTAAAAGACAGTCGCCAAGTATGCCGTCTATTTGTGATTGATATGTATATTGTTATCATTAAGAAAGTGAAAGAGAAAGAACATATTTTAGGTCAAAAACTATCTTGCATACCTTTTTAAAAAAAAACAACAGATGTCAAAAGAGTTGTGCGTATGTTTTTTGTCCCCAACACAATCACATTACCAGGAGCACGTAACATCAGAAATACCATGTCAACAAAAATCTGTACTGAAGTACACAAAAATATTATGTCATATTACACTGTCTGGTAACAAAAAGTGTTCATTGTATATCTGGACATATGTTTGTAGCCTGTTTCAATACTTTTATTCAAAATTTCATTCATAAATGTGAAGTGATCACTAGATTGCACAACTTACTGTTATTTACAGCAATCAGTCAGAATACCGCTATTGACGCCTTGGATATATATATATATCCATTCTCTGATAAATAAAGTTTGTGTCAAGGAGATTGGATATATATATATATCCATTCTCTGACAAATAAAGTATATATATATAATAAATGTCATACTTTGACTCATTAAAGTAATATTTGTTGTAGTTTGACTATAATATGTCAACATAAAGTTTTCACGACTGCCAGCCTCAACGGTGACCAGTCAAATTGTTCAATACTTAAAAAAACATCCGGCAACAGTGATCAGCTGTACAAAAGTGCTTCGCTTATGGTTATTATTATTTTAAATATATATAGTAAAGCTGAAACTAAAATAAAACGATATTGGAAAATATTATTCCTGATAAAATAATAGTTTCAGATATAATTCTTTCAATCATTGCATCAAAATTCTTAGAAGATATATTATTGGGTCACATTTAACCGAATTGGGAGAAATTGTGTCTACAGCTGATTGATGCTTCCGGATTAGTTTCGGAGACAAAATACACTGTAATCTGACTCTTAATCCAGCAGAACAGGAAATACAATTTGAATGGGAAATTATAATATCTCGTGATGTTTAATCTCAAATTTTGAATTTGAATTGACCAAGTTTGTTATCACCTGTTCGTTTACCTGAATTCGCTGAAGGGATACAATGTAATTTTATTCTGTGAATAATAGTCAACTTTTTTGGTCTAAATACTGAACTACCCAGAGCGGGAGCGCATTATACATAATTGCGCACAATACTCAAGAAAATACGGTATTTTATTAAATTTGATGAGATGAATTGCTACGACTGAAATATGTATTGGCCTGGTAGGACAAGTGTTTCTTCACCCCTTTCTCACTTAGCACATGCTTCCACTCGTCAATACAAGCGACGAGTGGATTTGTCAAGCCCTGTTGGTATAAGTTAGTGCACAAAGACACACATCCAACATTTTCTCCACTGATCATGGCCGCCGGGGGCACAATCTCCTCACATTTAGCTAATCCCTTGAGGAGGCTGGACACTTGAACTTAACTAAATGATGATGACTCTGGGAACAGAGGGATTTAGTTATTGATGTGAGCTGGGATTAACATGTGGGACGACCAAGCAGTGCTGAAGGGAAGAACATGGCCGACCAATTTCTTACTTTCAATCTGACTGTGATGGATCTTTTTGCAAATAAACAAGTTACACTTCCCAGAAACTACTGTCGTATATCATTTAAATAATTTGAACAGCTCGACTTCAAGACCTGCACAGGAAATGCCTAAAATTTGCTTTAAAGGTTTTGTAGTTAACAGATTCACTATCCAGACTGTTTCTCTGGGTAAAAGTTTCAGGAAAGTATTCATCAAAGCAATCTGTACAAAGTTGTGTGAGAATTTCAATACACATGTGCAAACACCTGAGCCCTCTACAGTTAAGCTGAAAGAGGCTTTAGTACAACATCAAAAGCACAGAGATAAAAACAGAGCTTACGATCTAAGACAGCAGGAAATAAATAAAATTATTCTGGCTTCAAGCCTGTGTTTGTCACCGACTGAGGTGACACTTCATTTGAGGACTGGTAAATAAGAAGTAGCGGAAATGTGTGCATATGCACAACCAGCATGGTCGAGAGAGGGGCAAACAAGTCATTGCACAAATTAGGAAATATCATATTCTCTTGTATGTTGTCCCTTGATACGATGTCAGTGTCACCAACTTGTCCCAATCCGGGTTCATGATGATTTCATCAATTGATAGAACCATCTTCCAGCCCAGATCACAAGAAGTTCTCATCAAATAATAGTGCCATCTTTCGGCTCAGACCTAAAGAAGATCTCATGAAATAATGGCGCCATCTTTCAGCCTAGACCTGAAGAAGACTTGATGAAACAATAGCACCATCTTCCAGCAAAGATCTGAAGAAGACTTGATGAAACAATAGCACCATATTCCAGCAACGATCTGAAGAAGACTTGATGAAACAATAGCGCCATCTTCCAGCAAAGACCTGAAGAAGACTTGATGAAACAATAGCGCCATCTTCCAGCAAAGACCTGAAGAAGACTTGATGAAACAATAGCGCCATCTTCCAGCAAAGACCTGAAGAAGACTTGATGAAACAATAGCGCCATCTTCCAGCAAAGATCTGAAGAAGACTTGATGAAACAATAGCGCCATCTTCCAGCAAAGACCTGAAGAAGACTTGATGAAACAATAGCGCCATCTTCCAGCAAAGATCTAAAGAAGACTTGATGAAACAATAGTACCATCTTCTAGCCTAGACCTGAAGAAGACTTGATGAAACAATAGCGCCATCTTCCAGCAAAGACCTGAAGAAGACTTGATGAAACAATAGCGCCATCTTCTAGCCTAGACCTGAAGAAGACTTGATGAAACAATAGCGCCATCTTCCAGCAAAGACCTGAAGAAGACTTGATGAAACAATAGCGCCATCTTCCAGCAAAGTTCTGAAGAAGACTTGATGAAACAATAGCGCCATCTTCCAGCAAAGACCTGAAGAAGACTTGATGAAACAATAGCGCCATCTTCCAGCAAAGATCTGAAGAAGACTTGATGAAACAATAGTACCATCTTCCAGCAAAGATCTAAAGAAGACTTGATGAAACAATAGCGCCATCTTCCAGCAAAGTTCTGAAGAAGACTTGATGAAACAATAGCGCCATCTTCCAGCAAAGACCTGAAGAAGACTTGATGAAACAATAGCGCCATCTTCTAGCCTAGACCTGAAGAAGACTTGATGAAACAATAGCGCCATCTTCCAGCAAAGACCTGAAGAAGACTTGATGAAACAATAGCGCCATCTTCTAGCCTAGACCTGAAGAAGACTTGATGAAACAATAGCGCCATCTTCCAGCAAAGACCTGAAGAAGACTTGATGAAACAATAGCGCCATCTTCCAGCAAAGTTCTGAAGAAGACTTGATGAAACAATAGCGCCATCTTCCAGCAAAGACCTGAAGAAGACTTGATGAAACAATAGCGCCATCTTCCAGCAAAGATCTGAAGAAGACTTGATGAAACAATAGTACCATCTTCCAGCAAAGATCTAAAGAAGACTTGATGAAACAATAGCGCCATATTCCAGCAAAGATCTAAAGAAGACTTGATGAAACAATAGCGCCATCTTCCAGCAAAGATCTGAAGAAGACTTGATGAAACAATAGTACCATCTTCTAGCCTAGACCTGAAGAAGACTTGATGAAACAATAGCGCCATCTTCCAGCAAAGACCTGAAGAAGACTTGATGAAACAATAGCGCCATCTTCTAGCCTAGACCTGAAGAAGACTTGATGAAACAATAGCGCCATCTTCCAGCAAAGACCTGAAGAAGACTTGATGAAACAATAGCGCCATCTTCCAGCAAAGACCTGAAGAAGACTTGATGAAACAATAGCGCCATCTTCCAGCAAAGATCTGAAGAAGACTTGATGAAACAATAGTACCATCTTCCAGCAAAGTTCTGAAGAAGACTTGATGAAACAATAGCGCCATCTTCCAGCAAAGATCTGAAGAAGACTTGATGAAACAATAGTACCATCTTCCAGCAAAGTTCTGAAGAAGACTTGATGAAACAATAGTACCATCTTCCAGCAAAGATCTAAAGAAGACTTGATGAAACAATAGCGCCATCTTCCAGCAAAGTTCTGAAGAAGACTTGATGAAACAATAGCGCCATCTTCCAGCAAAGATCTGAAGAAGACTTGATGAAACAATAGTACCATCTTCCAGCAAAGATCTAAAGAAGACTTGATGAAACAATAGCGCCATATTCCAGCAAAGATCTAAAGAAGACTTGATGAAACAATAGCGCCATCTTCCAGCAAAGATCTGAAGAAGACTTGATGAAACAATAGCGCCATCTTCCAGCAAAGATCTAAAGAAGACTTGATGAAACAATAGCGCCATCTTCCAGCAAAGTTCTGAAGAAGACTTGATGAAACAATAGCGCCATCTTCTAGCAAAGTTCTGAAGAAGACTTGATGAAACAATAGCGCCATCTTCCAGCAAAGATCTGAAGAAGACTTGATGAAACAATAGCGCCATCTTCCAGCAAAGACCTGAAGAAGACTTGAT